AGCGTTGCCTTCAGATGTCTTCTGAAAGTCAGATAGTTGTTTATGAATGAATTTATTATTTCGGTCACAGACCAGTTCCAGTCCACATACAATGCCAAGGAAGTCATAAAACACGATAGGGATACATTTGAATTTGCAATTAGGCATAACAGGGACAATACAGATATAGCAACAGTTAAAAATTATATAAATTAAAACTTAGTCACTAACATATAACCTAAAATTATCATTTAAGGCCTTAATCATGATGATAGCACAGCTTGTTCCCTAAGTTTTATGGCAATCGCACAGAATTTGGCTACCCTTAATGGGATCTCAGTATCCTTGTCCTCTACCAGGGATTTTAGACACAGAAGTTCGGATTCATTTGGAGATATATGCATAGCAATAAATACCGATGGTATATCCCCGTAAAAATGGCAGCGTAACAAGGCATGAGAGACAGTGATGGTGTGTGATAGTTGTTTATTTCCTTGACATCTAATGGGGAGGACGTTCCACTACCGATAAGGCCCTCTGCCTATATTCCAAGTGTGGCCACAGACACTACAAAGACATTAAAGGTAAAGGTAAAGGGACCCCTGACCATTAGGTCCAGTCGTGACTGACTCTGGGGTTGCGGCGCTCATCTCGCTTTATTGGCCGAGGGAGCTGGCGTACAGCTTCCGGGTCATGTGGCCAGCATGACTAAGCCGCTTCTGGCGAAACAGAGCAGCACATGGAAACGCTGTTTACCTTCCCGCCGAAGCAGTACCTATTTATCTACTTGCACTTTGAGGTGCTTTCAAACTGCTAGGTTGGCAGGAGCAGGGACTGAGCAACGGGAGCTTACCCCGTCGCGGGGATTCGAACCGCTGACCATTCTGATCGGCAAGTCCTAGGCTCTGTGGTTTAACCCACAGCGCCACCTGCATCCCTCACAAAGACATTACTTGTGCTTTTATTTCCAGTCCCTTCCCTGAGGATCCCCAACATGGAATTTGTTTTGAACCCTGCAGCTGCCACACTCCTTGCTTCTGTCCAGCAGATGCCACAGGCATTTTGAAAGCCAGACACGAAAGAACCTCCACATCTCAGGTGGGTGCCAAGTTTGCCATGGGTAAGCCTCGCAAGCGTTTTTGACATTTCCCGTGCGATGCGTTCAGGCTTGTTTCACGTTCCCCGTAGCAGCTGTATTACAAACGGTTAGAAAAGGAAGCCTGGGGGATAGTAAAGGCACGCCTCGACAGCTTTGCTTATTCACTCATTTAAAGGTACTAGCAGGCACGTCTTTTAATTGTGGAATGAAGGCGTTTGATAACTCAACATCTTCAAGCGCTGCCAGGCTGGCAAGTCTTCATAATCATCTCTGCAGTGCTTTGAACTCGGAAGTATCACTTTGATGTATTTAACGACACTTCCAGGGACTCAGCTACACAGCTGCGAATGAAAGGTTTCAAGTGGGTTGTAAAGTGCGAGGTGCAAATTTGACACTAGATGGTGACAGTGAGCTATGCCAAATTCAATCTATCTTTCGAAACATTTCTTTAAAAAAGCATTTTCACAGCGTTTTTAATATGTGTGTAGATTCCACTCAGTTCCCCTTCCTGTGTCGGCACTTGCAAGGGCTGGAGAAGCTATTGTCTCGCGTGCCTGAAGGAAATGGTTTAAAACTATAAACAGTGACTTTCAGTGGTGTGCAGTGAAATTTTTCATAGGGGAGCAATTAAGGCCAGAGCCCTGCTGCCTCTTTCAGAAAGCTGGGCAGGCTTTGGGAAGGTGGCAGGAAGGCTCTTGGATCCCATCAAAGCATCGCAGCTCCCTCCCTAAGCCAGGCAAAAACTTCCTGGGCTTTGGAAAGGAGGACCCAGGCTTTAATACTCGTGTGAAGTAAAAAGATCTCACCACTTCAAGCCCCTGAATCAGTAAATTCAGCCTAGGTTAGAGAGGTTGAGAGTCACAGTACCTCCAGAGCAAACACCTGTACTTGGTTTGAGGAAAGCTGAGCTGTGGAACTCTTTGCCACAAGGAACACACTGTGGCAAAGATTTTAGCCATTTCCAAATATAGTTTAGATCTCAGCAAGGGCCAATAAGAGAAGGCCCCATTGGGCCTGCGCCCCAAGCTCAAATTTAGACATTGGTTAATTTCTTCTTACGTTTCACAGTTTGTTTTTCTGCACATCATACCAGAGCATGCTGCACTCTAGCAGGTTTCAGAAATTAAGAGATACGAGAAGAGACTTTCTCTTTTTTTGTAAATTGATACAGGTTGTGTCCTATTGAATGGTTTCAAATGCCTTATTTTGTTTCCGCACACCATCATTTAAATTTTTTATTATGGCTAAGCACCTCAAAAGCTGGAAATGGCCCAGGCCTCTCTGGACCTCCGAAAGTGGACCTGTCGAAAGTGATTGCCGGCTGATTGTGCTCAGCTCTGCCTGCGTCTGCCACTGTTTTGTGACTGGGTGAGCCCAGGCACCACTATTTTGTGGTTGCTAGGGGAACGTTTGTGCGGAAGAAATGTGGCCATAAGCAGTAGAGAACCAAATACATGCATTTGGCTCACTCATTAACAGCCGGCATAGTGACTGGCAAAGAAGTGTGGGGTTTTCATCCCTCATAAACGCATTCCCAGCTTGTCCCAACATTGCTGGCACTGGATAAAACGTTACAGTCAGCAAGATCCAGTGCCATTGCGCTCATGCTGCAATGAAGCTTCCTAAGGTGGGTTCCTCGATTCCTTTGTGGGTTGAATGTGTTTGCCAAGTAAAAGCAGGCAATGGGCATCTCACCCCCCCCTTTTAATTGCATTTCTGATATACAGTGGTACCTCGGGTTAAGAAGCTGTTCTTAACCTGATGCACCACTTTAGCTAATGGGGCCTCCTGCTGCTGCCGCACCGCCAGAGCACAATTTCTGTTCTCATCCTGAAGCAAAGTTCTTAACCTGAGGTACTATTTCTGGGTCAGCAGAGTCTGTAACCTGAAGCGTATGTAACCTGAAGCGTATGTAACCTGAGGTACCACTGTATTTCCACAAAATATGAACACACATAATGCAAAAAGATAAGAATCTACGAGGTTAAAATAAAAGAAAAATGACCGTTTGAAGATAACAAAAAATAGATAGAAAAGCAGAGAGCATTTCTTAACTGACTTCCCACCCTCTCCTTCCATGGTTCTGTTTATTTCCTTTCTGTTTTCTTGTTTCATCCCATTGATCGCAACGACTTAGATCGACATTAGTTATTTCTTACACTGCTGGAAAAACTTGCCATCCTGCTAGGTTGATGATCTGCTTATAGGCAATGGGCATTCAGTAACCCCTACTTGCAGGGGGTCCCAGTTCTCATTCTCTGGAAATAACGAAACATCTTTCCTCTCAGCCAGTCTGATTTACTGACTGCCTTAATATATTGCTTTCCTGCCAAAAAGCATCAAGAAGCTTTACAGTTTAAAAATAAAGGCATACAACCAGAGAGAGGTTATACAGTAAGAAAGGAAGAGAGGAGAGGAGAGGAGAGGAGAGGAGAAGCTTGGTCCCAACTCAAAGAGTATGGAAAGGGTGTCAATTCCAGATGTTGTTGGACTCCAACTCCCATTAATCCCATACGCTCCAACGTTTCTCCGATGAAAATAGGGACATCCTATTCTATTATTATTATTATTATTATTATTATTATTGCCCCACCCATCTGACTGGGTTGCACCAGCCACTCTGGGCAGCTTCCAACATATATAAAAAACACAATAATACATTCAACATCAAAATAAAACCTTCCCCATACAGGGCTCCATTCAGTTGTCTTCTAAAGGTTGTAGAGTTAGTTATCTCATTGGCTCAGGGGTTGCAGAACTTCAAACCCTCCACTATTTCTTTGATGAAAATAGGGAAGTTCTAAGGAAAAGCACGACATTCCGGGATCAAATCAGAAACACTTGGAAGGTCTGCAGTTTGGAGTCCAGCAACATTTGGAGAACTATAGGGGCCCCACCCTAGATATCCCTAGCTGAACCTTCACTGCTCTGCACTTCGTTCTACAAGCCTGGCAAAGTCAGTTTAAAACTGAGACCTGCACCCAGAGGATCCTCTCATTCATACAAGATGAGCTCTTTAAAAAATAATAATAAATTAACAAATCTGTCTCCTTTCAGGGGATAGTATTTATTGTTGCTTTTGTTCTGGATTCTTCCAGCTTTGTGTGCAGAATGTGTGAGTTGCTGAACTATCACTTTGCCTAGTTGTTGCTCCTTAGAACAGCTTAGCAATTAGTTGCCCTTTTAGGATAAGTGGTGCTAAAACTTTCAATTAAGCAGATTAGAGGGAGAGAGAGAGAGAGATGGAGATTGACGGCATGAATAATCCCTTCTTGCTCAAGACTTCTGCACAATAACTTTTTACTGTTAGAAACCTCCTCTCCTCAATGTTGTCTTGTCTTTTCCTCTTTTGATTTTGTATCTTTATTTTCCCCCTTTCTTTTCCTCTTTTTTATTCCTTTATAAATTTTCTATTTTCTACCTAATTTTATTTTTCTTCATATGCAAAGAGATAGCATATAATGTTTGTATAGATATGTAAATTTTTAATCAATAAAGAATAATGTATCGGGGGGGGGAATAGAAACTTCCTCTCCTCTCATCGAAGGCACTGCCGTCTCTTCCCCGATGACCATTAGCCCCAGACTGAGGGATGTGGGTTATAACACAGAATACTTTGCACCCTCCAGTCATGAGGTTGCCTTGGATTCCTATATTCACATGCCTCTATAAGCAAAGGACGACAAAACTGGCCATGCCAGCCGGGTTGCAAAGTGATTAATAGTGCAATCCAATTCAGGAGCACAACCCAAAATAGGTTTAGCATCAGGTTGCAGGCTGTTTAAATAAAATGTCTGTACTGGAAATATGTAATTGTGGTTTTTGGGGTTTTTTAACTACGTACTTTCAAGTCTATATCTTGTCTAGACTTGAAGTACGTTCAAGGTTGCCTCTTCTTCCAACAGCTCAAAAACAGTCTGGATCAAACCTTAAGTCTCCAAGGCATTGACATTTCAAACCTTTCAGAAACTTGCCAAAGCTTTCCTTTTGGAGACCATAACAGAACCCAGCAGCAGATGCACCGGCTTTTGCCAAATGCTTCAATAAGAGAATAAAAGTTTGGATCCAGACTTCCTGGCTTATACGCTATGGTAGCCATATGCAGAGCAGTAGACCCATTGAAATTTATGGGCATGAGAAAATGAGGTCTGTTAGTTTCATAAAAGTAGCATTTAATTGCAACCAGCACCCAGCTATTGCTGTCGTCATCTTCATCAAACAGTGAGACATCAAACATTAGAAACTTCCCTCAAGTCCCTCTGCCTGGTTCCCTGAAACTTCACTTCTCACAATGACGGAACTGCCAGAAGGCCCTCGGAGCTGGATCTCAGAGTGGATACGGCTTCCGGAAGAAAGCAGTGGGTTTGGGGATCATTTTAACTGATTCATCCTTCTCTCTGCTGTCCCCTGTGAGTCCTGGAAATTTGGAGAGTTGAAGGTATCTGAACAAAAGAGGAGCCTGCTGCGTCCGGTCAACGGCCCTCATCCTGTTCTTTCGTGGTCACAGGACAGCCAGAAGAGCAGAAGACCAGAGCACTCTTGACTCCTGTGGTTTCCCAGCAACTGGTAGTCAGAAGCCGTACCATCTTCATCCATGGCTAGTAGACGTAGACTCTATCTGGAAGAGTCTTGGAGGTGACAATGGGAATCTGCCCAAATCGCCTCTCCCCGCCCATCCTTCCTCCAGCAGATGTTTCTTCTAGATCTCTCTCTTGTGCGAATGAAAGGAGTCCTCCTGCTTGTGGAAAAGCAACTCCTTTAGCGTATTTCACTGCCAGGCAGTCTCAGAGTTCTTGCCACACAGCCCTCCCATACACAAAAGGAGGTTAAATTATTAGAGATAATTTAAAGGGGGGAGAAAAGCTTTTCTGACAAAATACCCTGCCCCTGCTGCTAGTCAGCACACCTGGTACAGAGGGGAAGCAGGCCACACAAATGAGTCATGAACCCAGCTGAGATTTTGTAAGCCTCAGATTTAACACCAATAACTTTTAATATAAAAAAACTACTTAAGAAACAATTCGGATTATTTGTCCAGCATGCGATACAAAAGGTGCCGTATGTTTTCCAGCCCTCCTGTGTCGCTCATTTTCTACAATTACGCAAAGGCTACAGGAAGGGCCTTTGTAGCAAGAATTCCATGAATGACTTTTCCCCCCCTTTCGGTAGTAGGCGATTGCCAGTTCCTTTCATTCTGGAGCCAGATTCTTAACTATTCTGCTTCAAAGAAAGGGGACTTTTATTATCAGTCCTACTTCCGGAGCATGTTCTTAAATCATGTTAGGGCACATTGTTTTCCCTCTCTCTTCCAGCAACGAAGCAGGGAGCAAATGGAATGCAGACAGTAAAGGAGTTTGGTACAGATATTTGGGAAGATGCACTCGCTGACAGCAGTACCTGTGTACTCAGCAGAAGCAGTCTTAGCACCACCTCTCTGGTAACAAACTCATTGTTCAACAAGGCAAAATAAATACAGTCTTGGGAAGCATTGTACGCATTTGTATGCATTTCATTTTGTCCCAAATGAAAACAGACGTTTTCAAATTAATTCACTCCCCCAGCCCAATCCCTTCCCTTCCCGTTTTAGCGCTGTACCTCCAGAAGCTCCCATACAACAGGAGTAATACATACAATATTCCGATCTGGATGAGGTGAGTCTTGCTGATGGTCCCCCCACCTACACCTCTTAAAAAGAATAAAAAAATAAGGGGGTGTCACAAGAGCACTCCTGATCTTGAGTGATGTGAGGGAGCACTCTATAAGTAAGTAAATAAATATTTACTACTAATAATAATAGTGGTTTAGTGTTGGTTATTGCGGTCACTCATTAAGAGGGGATGGCATTGGCACTGAGCAATAGGCGCTTGTGGCATTCACACCACCAGATTCCACGCAGCACTCACAATTGTAATAGAAATGGGGAAGGGGAGGAGAGAGAATATTTACTCGCTGACATAACAATGAGGTACGAATGCTGGAGAAAATGCAACAGAAGAGATACCTCGAAGAACAGCCCTAGGTATTTATCCAGGGCAACTGAGCAATGAAAGAAAAAGAAATGGTCACGTGCAAAGAATCAAAACTCACACTTTGAATACTTTGGAATTGGAGGGGGAATGTTTCCCAGCACAGATGTGATCCAACAAGGATGGCACCTCAAGAGGATTTAAAGTGCAACCCTATGAATCTCTATTCAGGGGAGTCCTACTGAGTTCAACTGGACCTTTGGGTATTTGCAGGTTTGCACATCTAGATTGTATTTACGGCAAACTGACTAGTCAAGTGGGGTTTTTTTGGGGGGGGGGGTAGAAACCTAGTATGTGGCTCCACCAAGTTTAATAATCTGAAGTTCTGTCAATACTGTCACTGCATTGCCTTCCAGTTGTAGTATGCTGTGATGGGGATTGTGTAGGGTGAAGGTAATCTTTGTGTGGGGTGATCTTTGGGGTGAGGTGTGGATGAGAGAATTAGCAGCTATTTAGTATTTGCTGCCCTTGGGAGGTATTTATACTGTAAGACAGGATAATTTATATTTTTATATTTTTAAAAAAACAAAACCAGACCACTTTTTTTAATTCATTGCATAGGAGTGCTGGGAACTTTGCACAGAGAAAGAAATTTGCAGTATAATACACTGTCACCCACCTCAAAACTTTCCCCGCCAGCTTCTACCCTACCCTGTTTTCCAGGCTCGTGTTTGCTTTGTTGGAAGGGGAATTGGTCATCCATACTCTTCCCAACATCATTTTATCTTCCTGCTGCCAAGCCGTCCGTCCATATAACTCAGCTTGACACAGAAAAATGGTTCTGCTTTATAGAGTGGGGTTTTTTTTTCAGCTGATGAATTTGCCATTATTTTCTCTTCCTGGAATAAACAGTAACAAGATCAACCATCGTCGAGGAAGCAAACTTAATACGATGGTGCAAATTCTTTGTTTATGTACTCTCTAAAACTAGGCCACGGAAGGTATTGTTCTTGAATAAAGGGGTAGGGGCTCAACTACTAGATTGCAGTTTTTGTTTGTTTGTTTGTTTGTTTGTTTAAAGGTTACATTCAGCTTGAACCCAACTTTCCCAGCCATTTGTTTTAGCTAAGTGGGTTTCGATTAATCCCAAAACGGATCCATTGGTGTTTAAATTAGTCAAAACAGCAGAAGGCCTAATATGGTTAAGGAACAGACCCAGACGGTGGCAGGCATCGAGACCATACTCTGTCCAAGCTCCAAAATGTGATGTTGGGGAAATTGTTTTGTTAAAAACTACTGTTCTGTGGAACAGAGCTGATGCTTCATACTCCATCGCTATTGAGGTGCTGTACGCTACGCCTTTCAATTTTTATTTCAGCTGCATACGTAAGAGCTTCAGGGCATGATTTGAGGTGTTGTCTGTGCCAATGGATTTCTGTTTAGGCAAAGTGTTCTTTCTAGCATAGCTCGTCACTAACATTTGCCCTTGGTATGCTGTACTTTGGCACAGCCTGAGGCTAGCATGATATAGCAGTGCTCCCTCCTAGTCAACCCAACCTTGCATTCTCCCGTGCTCTTTGTCAGAAGATTCCCAGCCTTTTTTAGTGGGAGATGATGATCGCGTTCAAGGTGTGTATCTGGGACCTACTGCATGTGAAACATCCCTTTGCTGTACATTTAGGAAACGAGATTTGCGGTCCAGAAAAGATAGCCACATGCAACATGCATGCCGCCACGAGGTTAAAATAGCAGGTGGTGGTGTATTTTCCATCCATGTTGCAAGAAAGGTAGAAATCCCTATTCCCATCCACATAGCAGAGGGCAGATGATCACATCAGACAATTCGCAACTGAATGAACGTCCAGTTTCTCCTTGCTAGATCAGCATCAGCAATACAGCACCTGTTGTCTCTAAAAGAACGCTAAAATGAACCGAGCCACTAAATGCTTTTTTATAGTAAGAAAAGGTCACCAGTTTAATCATGTACATTAAGCAGGCGAGCAGTTTGTAAACATTCAAAAGCGGCAGCATCCAAGTTACAAACATCTTTAAAGGAAAAAGAAGAAGAATCAAGATTGTTTAAGGATTTCCCTCCCCGCCCCTTCCTCTTTCCCCTCCAAAAAATTTTGAAATGATGTTTCAAAATACTACAAACACCAAACAAGCTTCTACCACCCTTGGTTAACAGTCCTTTCTTACAAAAAAGGAGTTCCGGATTCCCAACACAGGGTTTTATAACAAGGTGTACTTTTAATATAATCTACGTTAGTCACTTGGGAGTTCTACCTCTGTTCAAATCCCATTAGCAAAGGGAATGTTTGTGTCTTGGTTCAACGCTTCTTTGACCTCTGAAGGCAACGTGTCAAAGAGGTGATCTTCTACAATGAGTCCACTTTTCCTGAGAAGCCGACACAGACCCAGCGTAGCCGGGAGACGGTCTAAACAGTTCCCCTTCAACTCTAGGTGTGTTAGCTGCAAGAGCTGGCCAATCTTTTCCGGAATCGAGGTGATGCAGTTTTGCCCCAGGCTCAAAGTCCTCAGCTTGGTACACTTAAACAGCTGTTTTGGCAAAATGTCTACTTTGTTTCCGGTGATATGCAGGTGCTGGAGGTTCTGCAGAAGGCCTACCTCCAGGGGAATCACTGCAATAGAGTTGTAGCTCACATCTAAGCATCTGAGCTTCTGTAAACTGAACACTGCAGCCGGTAAGGATTCGAGTTTATTGTTGGAGAGGTAAAGCGACTCCAGGTTTTTCACGTGGGTAATGGAAGGAGGAATGATGACTATTTTGTTGTGCCACAACTTCAGGCAAGTCAGTCTTTTCAAATGCTGGAAGCTGATGACTTCTTCAATTGTGCGTATGCTGTTGGACTTCAGATCCAGCTCCTGCAAGTTGGTGAGGCTGAAGATGGCGTGCGGAATCCGCTCCAGGTCGCAATTCTGCAATTCCAGCTCTGCTACATTCATCATTTTCTTAAGGCTATTCAACACAAAGAGCTTGGTGCCGTCGTTATGGATGACGAGCTTGGTTAGATGTGGGGCCACATCTGTGATGTTGGATGGGATTTTGGTCAGGTTGCTTTTCACGTAGAGAATTTTGAGGTGCCTCAGTTCCCTAAGAGATTCAAGTCCTATCATTTTGTTGTTTTCAGAGTTCAAGTTGCCTATCAGGTACAACTCCCGGAGGTTTTTAAGTAAGTACACCCAAGCCGGGATTTCCGCCACGTCGGTGAACTTCACGTGCAGGCACCTCAGGTGGTCGCGAAGGAAGCTGAAGGCTGTTTGTTCCACCTTTGCGGGACAGTGGTAGAGGTGTAGCTCTTGCAGGTTCGTCATCTGGGAGATCTTAGCCGGGATTTTAGCTTCAGGGATCAGCTCAAGTTTCAGCACGTCCAAGTCGGTAAGATCAAACACGGCATCAGGGACCCCTGAGAGCATGAAGAGATGAAGTTCTTGCTTGTCCTGGGCGTTGCGGGAAACATGCTGGCGCAGCTTTTCGAAAGTCCACTCGTGGTTCAGGCTTATTTCCCTCAGCTTGTTTTCACTCACCTCCGACAAGAAGACGCCAAACCGCTTGGAGTACAGCTGGTCATACTGGTCCACCATGTGCAAGAGAAACGCAAAGTCGTTCTTAACATCCGGAATATCGCTGAAGCTGCTCTCTTCCCTAACCTTCTCAAAGGAATACTCCTTCAGGGGTAACCGGAACAACCAGAAGAGTGTGTACAAACAGATGAAACCGTAGACGCAAATGAGGGAAATGTAACTGATGAGCAGCTTTTTCAGCATGTAAGCCATGTTGTGTGTGCATTCGAACTCCTGGTAGCCGGTCAGGTGCTCCACTTTGGGCATGCAGCTGTGCTCAAAGCTGATTTCGTTGACGAAGTTTGCCGTGTAGCAGAGAATAAATATGAACTTCACAGTTTTGATGACCGTCTGGACGACATAGAGCTTGTATATCAAGTCGCTGTCCTCCACGTGCGCCCGGAATTTCCGTACTTTTTCGAAGAGGGCTTTGGCTTGCTCGCCATCTTTTTTGTCCAAAATGGTCATGCTCGGAACCTCGACGACGGGCTTCTCCGCTGAAAACTTGAAGCCCGTCTTGTTGATCATGGGAGTGCTGGCGCTCGGACTTCCTTCATCGCTACTGGTGGACACATGCTTGGGCAAAGACTGGGCCCCGGTCAGCCTCTGCTTATTCTCCTCAGAATCCTCACACGCCGTCTCAGACAACGCCTTTGTAGTCCACGGAGATTCAAAGCACTTCCCCAGGATGGAAACAAAGTGCTCGATCTTCGAGCAAGTTTTGGGGTATTTGAACCAAAAGTTGCTGCTGACCATTAAAATAATGGTATGTATAAGAGCTAAGTAGGGAAAGTACTTTGAATACCAAGGAAGAGCCAAGTGGTAGCACATCTGGTTAATGAAAACATATTGCTGATAATCCAAGTTAGTTTTTCGGCCCAGGGGATCTGCCTGCTCCTTCTTCTCCTCCGGACTGGCGACAGTGGAGTGCAACGGCGGAAAGGTAGATCTGCTGAGAGGTATGTCAGTTGCGACGACAGGTGCAAAAGAAACAGCCCTTCCTCCCTGCGCTTCTTTGTCTTGGGCTGCGGTTGTTTCGGGTTCCGGAACAGCGTTTGTAGCTTTGGCACTCGCCGGGGAGCTGGGCTGCACCTTTGCGTTGACAGCCGACTGCAGGACGGGCAAACAGACCACCTGATCTTTGGTCAGCTGCATGGTTCCAGCAAAAATGGCGACCATCAGCATAACGACTGCTAGGTAATCCATAAATACGTCCCACCATGGTTTCAGAATGCGGTACGTTGGCTGAATGTCATTAAGAGATGCAACTTCTGCAAGGGTAAACATTCCTGTAACGAGAAGGAAGAAAAAAGCAGCTGTCATTCATTGCTGGCAGATCAAATTGTGCTTTATACTCTTGAATGTAAACTTAATCCATTAGACCAGGGAGTGGCTAACCTTTTCCTTTTGGCCGAAGGGCTATATTCACCCTTGGCTAACCCTCCAGTAGTGGGTGTAGCCACTACACACACACACACACACACACACACACACACCAACCCTCAGCTAACCCATGTAGATCAGCAAAGGAGGGGGTTATTGTGCCCTCCTTGCTCAAATGAACCATCCAATGACTGGGAAAGGAGTCAGTTGCATCCCCGTTAAAGTGGTTCAGACATCTCTGCTCAACCCAGTCCAGTATCCGCTTACCGTATTTTTCACCCCATAGGACGCACCGCCCTATAGGACGCACCTAGTTTTTTTGGGGGGGGAATAAAGAAAAAAAATTATTCCCCCCCCCCCAGGCGCGGGGCTGGGGAAGCCCGAGCTGCCCCAGAACAGCCAGAACGGGTCCCAGAGCGATGCAGAAGCTGCCCGCAGCTTTAGCATCGCTCTGGCAGCTTGCGGGGCTGAGGGAGGGGGAAGCCCGAGCTTCCCCCTCCCCCAGAACGGGTCCCAGAGCGATGCCGAAGCTGCGCGCAGCTTCGGCATCGCTCTGGCAGCTTGCGCGGCTGGGGGAGGGGGGAAGTGCGTCCTATAGGGCGAAAAATACGGTATATTGTTTTCCTATGCTCAGCCTTTGACCGAACTGCAGGAGGCAGTAGAGGCAGTGGAAGACAGGAGTGCCTGGTGTGCTCTGGTCCATGGGGTCACGAAGAGTCGGACACGACTAAACAACAATAACATGCTCTGCCACTGCCAAAATGGGAGGGTTCTTGGGTAGCAAGAAAACCTTGTTTTTTTCCGGGGGGATGGGGAGAATCAGACCCTTAGGTCAGGGATTAGCCACTCCTGTACAAGACCTACAAATTGTTAACCTCATTCACTTGCTTTCTGAAATGAAAAAGGAACACGCACAACCCTTTCTCTACCCATTGTGAATAGCACCCCTAAACGGATTTACTCAAGCCTGGGCAATGTTGTTTATTCTGTGAAATACATCCATCTGAAGATTCTGCCCCCATTGACTGATAAACAAACTCAAGAGTTTTAAAATCGTACCAAATGAAGGACGCACCACACCGTTTAGTTCTTCTTTATAAAAGCCTTTTTTTCCTGAAGGGAAAATGGTATTGCAAAAGGGGCATGACATGATGGTACAATGGACGTCGCTAAAAAGCGGTTCTTAACGATTAAAAATTAGTCAACGTTTTAGAATTAATTTCTTTCCACAAAGAGCAGTTCTCAAAGCATTTGCGCAGCTCTCTTTTCAGTGATTTCAGGCTTTTGTTGTTCATTATGTTCACCGGATATGAGCTATGCAAGTATGAGAATTTGGGTGTTATGGAGAGATCTAATTTTTTTGCTTATAATTACACAGCCCAGTATGATTTCAATTTTCACCTACGTGTCTTGAAGAGCTAAGTAAAACAAAACCACACTTTAGGAAAACTGCCCCCTGCCCCCAATTCTTACAAGAAGAGCTGGCTTTGGGTTTTTCTGGAAGATAATAAGCATCCTTTAAAACAAAGAAACCTACCATATATGTTGACCTGCAACTACAAGATGATCTAACTAAATGCAAAAAGGATGCCTGCTTATTCATCACTGCCTGAACCTGAGAAAACCAGGTCTCCAAAGGAGAGACTGCAAGTACTATCAGGTGAACTGCAAGACCAGCAGTAGGGGAGATTTCACAACTAGTTGCCTAGGCAACCATCAGTTTTAAGTCTGAAATCCCATTGAGCTCGGCAGGACTTACTTCTGAGTAAACACACCAAAGAGAGGATTGCTAAGGCTATAAAAATATTTCCCCAGCTACGGTGGCCAGGAAGATGAACTGGAAGCAAGGCAACGTGGAGGAAGGAATTCAGAATTAGTCTAGTTAAATGCATTTGCACAGATTTTAGGTTTTTAACTACATCCACTTTGATAAGCAAATATTTTTTTTAAAAAAAAAATTACAAGACACAGGGGAATTGTGTGTGTGTGTATAATTTGACAATTCACTCCCCCCCCCCGACTAAAAGGTAAAGGTAAAGGACCCCTGACAGTTAAGTCCAGTCGCAGACGACTCTGGGGTTGCGGCGCTCATCTCACTTTATAGGCCGAGGGAGCCAGCGTTTCTCCACAGTTTTTCCGGGTCATTTGGCCAGCATGACTTAAGTTGCTTCTGGTGCAATGGGACACCAAAACCAGAGCAGTGAACGGAAAAGCCGTTTACCTTCCCACTGGAGCGGTACCTATTTATCTATTTGCACTTTTTGGGCGTGCTTTCGAACTGCTAGGTTGGCAGGAGCTGGGACCAAGCAACGGGAGCTCACCCCGTCACAGGGATTTGAACCGCTGACCTTCTGATTGGCAAGCCTAAGAGGCTCACTGGTTTAGACCACAGTGCCACCTGCGTCCCTCCACCACAGACCACAGAAATGTAAATATAGCATGAAAGCTAAGAGAAGCATGGCCAGTTAGAAAACTACTAGTCAGATCAGTTTTTGGAAGCCTATTCCTCAAGTGCAAAGAAGGAGGTGGGGGAAGCTCCCTCCCTCCCCCATACAATCTAGTTCTTCTATTTAAAAAATAATAAAAAAATGCTAGTTTTGCTCACATCTAATGGGTAGGGAGAGCAGGACAGCCTGGAAGCATTAGTGTCATGGATGGGCTGATGCAGAGTGGTGCGAGGCACCAGCTGGAGAACCCCCAAGGGAACCCCCAGGGGAAGAAGGCTCGGAGCCAGGGGGTTGGTGGTGGGACAACAATGGGTGGTCAGAGGGAGCAGACTGGGAGGAGGAAGAGTCAGAAGCTGAAGAGGCAGCAGGGCTTAGTGAGCAAGAAGAGGTTGTGGCAGAGAGCAGTCACGAATCAGAGGCAGGAGAGGAGGCGGGCCAGTAGACAGAGATGGGGCAGGCTGCTGAAGAATCCAGAGAGTCTTCCCCTTCTGCTGCGACCAGCTCCCCTCCCCACTGGTCTCCAAGAACACACAGAGTAATGAAGAGGGTGGAGCAATCAGAGACAAGACGACAGAGCCTTAGGCTGCTGGGGAAGGAACAGCGGGAGGAGCCTTAGGGAGCGGTGGGAAGGTAGGGACTTTCATTCCCCGCAACCATCTCACAGGGGCAAGATCTACTGGGAAGAATTGCTGTGATCACAGTGTTCAGATATTTCCAGGTTTTCTACGGACTAGAGAAAAACTCACAGGGAAGCCCAGATTACACGTTGCCTCCGATAGTTTTGACACTCATGGTACTGAAAAGGTGCCTTGTTGTTACTTGACTATTTCAACGCAATCACATTCGTACAAGCACCAATTCTAAGCACAAGGGGCTATTTCTCATGCCCTCCCAACTAGCTTCCTATACAACTGGGAGGAACGAGTGACATGAAATACAATACAATTTTCTGGAGTGGGGAATCCTTTGCAAATCTCTCTGGAAACCACTATGAATGTAGGACAAAGGTGCGGTATACTTGACAGCTCCCTGTAATCCTCTTATCTTCGGTTTTACCAACAGCAATGCAAGAGGAGCTTTAATAACATAAACACCTGCCTTCTTTACTTTTCACATGCCCTGGGAGTAAATTATAGGGACAGAAGCAGCCCCCATTGTTTGTAAACACTCTTGACATGTGCCCATGTGATTTAAAAGAGCTGTGGAACAGTGCTGCTGGTCCCATCCATGATAAAACAGTTTGCCCCAGCTTCCCAATTGGTTCTGCCAGAAGGTTTGCACCGCACTGACCTTGCCTCTTCTCTTCATTGGCCTGGCCAGAGAGAGATCAGGTTAAGCACCATGTTCCCAGTGCACCATCTGTTACTTCCCCAAGCATGTGTTAGCTGTGAGTTGGAGAAAAGCCTGGAGTTGTGGTTGCATAGGTACACAAGCCATGTGTAGGTTTTCCCCAATAGAAACCACACACAATGTATAGATGTCAGAGGCCGAGCTAGGGGGAACTAAATGTCATTGGGTGCAGAACCAGAAGCATGGCTCTACGGTCCAGTTCATCACCTGGTTTCTTCATGTGTGCAAATTTGGGCAAGGTGGGTGATTAAGATCCATAGGTTTTATAAGCCTGTTGTTTGGCCCAAGCTCCTCCAGCTAATTCAAATTATGTATTTCCTGGGTAACTGCAGTAAAATTGGACTCCTTGAGTGTATGCAGAACGTTAGGGGATGTTGCTTTTTGTCCTAATGTTCACACAAAACCTCATCTACACTTACAATGACCGGTTATCCAGTTTGGAGAGTCCTGAAGCTCTTCCCATCTGTATGGAATTTCAACATCCTTGCTGGGACTTTGTTACCTCACCATATACCCCGTGCATTCCAGATAATGCACGATAAGTCAAACAGATCTCTAGTGGATTCCATTGATTTCTTCCTTTCATGTGCCTCTTGCCTTATCAATAAGTGATTAGTTAAAAGAGAAACTCACTAACTTTTGTCAAGAGCTTCTTGAAAATCCAGATGCTATCAGCATGTTTGTTTGTTGCTAACCCACAAGGTTGCCCCCTTCCAAATAAGGTTAGTAAGGTAAGAATTCTCTTGGAAAAAAAGGAAAGCTAATAAGTTCCTCAGCAAGGCTTATTCTTCTGTTTGGCTAACTATTGTAATCATAGAAACACCTTAAGGTGTAAAGTTAATGCCTTGACTTGCTCCTCAAATTGCTTCTTGGCCTGCCTTACTGTAGGTTTATATTTAATTTGTAAGAATTTATAATCTGTTTCTCCCTCTATTAGAAAAAAAAGTTTAATAAAGGAGGTTATCATGTGTTAGCCGCTTAACCACGTTTGTCAATTTTTTCACGTTTTGTGCCTTTTCCTATTTTCAATAATGGCTTCACATAAACTCCCCTCCACACTTTCCTACTCCCTTTAAACTAAATCCTCCAATTCTTAATCATTTGAAATGCAGAACATTCTGGTATAATGCTTTATACACAGTTCATGTGCTTTCAGGTAAATACGAGTGGACATTAAGATGATGAAAAAGCAAAGCTACCATTTTAATTCTCAGGTATATGATGAACCTCTCAGTTTAAAAGGAACGCACATGTACCAGCCACATTTTGACTTGTAAATCAGTTTTCTGCAAGGATCTTTCATTCACAGGCCTCTGAGCCCCTCGATTTTACTGAGTCAGTGACCACCCTGATGCATTTTGCATACAGCAGAGAGCATTAGATTTAAATACTTGCTTGAATACCTTGGCAAAACAAAAACACACTACTTTATGATTGGCAGGTCTAAGTGCTTACCAAGCCAGATTAATTTGGCGTATTAAATTCTGTAAGTTTCTGTTAATAACCTGTGGAGGCTGGAAAGTATTTTTCATTTCATAACTCCTTCTGTAGTTCTTGGCAGGGCTTGTGAATATGATGGAGAGTTACCTTCATCCCCTCTGGTGAAAGAGCAATAAAATGTATTTTGTGCAAGAGCCAAAATGAGATTAAAGCCCGAGTCTGTGCAATGTTCATAAAGCTAGGTTTTCAAACAAAACACTCCGCTTCAACCCCCTGCCCCAAAAAACTTCACTTAAAATAAAGAAGTCTAGGGGAGAATGTTGGGGGAGTTGGTGCTTCAATTCTTAAAAGGCGTCTTGTACTGTCCTTTATTTCACCTAAGTAGCCTTTGAGTCACCTTTTCATTTTCTCTGAAGAGCATATCCACCCAACAGACTGAAGTTGCAATAACAGTCATACACAGTCGTACCTTGGTTGACGAACGCCTTAGCAGTCAAACGTTTTGGCTCCCGAACACTGCAAATGTTCTTTTGGAAGCCAAACGTCTGGCGGGGCTTCCGATTGGCTGCAGGAAGCTCCTGCGCCCAATCAGAAGCCGTGCCTTGGTAGTCGAATGGACTTCCGGAATGGCTTCCAAGGTACAACTGTACTTCACCATTCTGGGAAGTGTAGTTTTGAGGAGAAGGGAATACGAGGGAACTAACAGAATCCTTGCTAAGCTACAATTCCTTGGGTTGCTTCTTTAGGCCACCACTCTTCTAAGCAGTTCAGGTTGGCAGTGTTAGAAACTCAGGACAGGAAGAAGAAGAGTTTGGATTTGATATCCTGCTTTATCACTATCCTAAGGAGTCTTAAAGCGGCTAACATTCTCCTTTCCCTTCCTCCCCCACAACAAACACCCTGTGAGGTGAGTGGGGCTGAGAGACTTCAAAGAAGTGTGACTGGCCCAAGGTCACCCAGCAGCTGCATGTGGAGGAGCGGGGAAGCGAACCTGGTTTACCAGATTACGAGACTGCCGCTCTTAACCACTACACCACACCAGCCACCGGGGGCCACATGTGACTACTAGGACAGTAATGGGAAACCTGTCAGTAGCTCTAATAGGAAGCCAGCAGTTCTACTATAAAAGCAAAGGAATAATTGCAGCTTCATAGCAGGGCTGTTTCAAAGCTGTAGGAGAAGCTGAAACACAGTTCAGATGTAACAGCACCTGTATAGCAGGGGGGAAGCGGGAAGGAAGAGAGAAGAATGAAAGAAAAAGCACTTAATCTCTTAAACGAGGCTTTGAAAAATCGAAAGAAATTACGTGCAGATTAAACAACCAGGTCAGAAAAGGAACCAGCGGCAATTAACCCATCTCAAGGCAGTAAGACAATACTGAGAAACAAAATTGCAGGCCTAGGTTAAATCAGTAAGTATAACTCTTGGTGTATAAATAGTATTGCCTGCCCAATTAAATTTCCTTTAATTAGATGTTAGGAAAAACCCCGTTAGTACAACCCCCCAAGAGACCAAGACTTTCTATGACAAAGCCTAAGTTCACAGCTATTAAAATTACTCCAAGATGACAAGCTCCTGGGTTCCTTTATTGAACCGGAGGAGAGTTGGCTTTTCATGTAAATAAACCTTCTACTCAGCTATTCCCGGGGATCATTTTATGGCACAATATATACACGCAACTGTTTCTTATTTAACAGCTTCATGTGTTGCAAGGAAGAGCCATTTTCCAGGCAATAAATCACCATAGTTTGTAGGTGACAAGTGTCATTTTGTGTGCACAGACAACTGCTAGCAGGCCTCAGGGCTATATAGCTTATAGCTCCATGAGTATCAGCCAGCATCTTTTGGCTGGCGGCTATAATATTGTAACTGAAAGATGAGAAAATTTATTTCTTGTACAAGTGCTACTAAAACATTGCATCTTCAAGAGGCTAACAGCTCTGATGAACCACAACCAACAAATCTAACTGTGCCTACGGAGGAACCAGACATGAGCAAGGTTTCCAGACACACTGGTGGTGCTAACATTCTGCATTGTCTAACTTCCATCTCACAAGGGCTGTTAATAGCACTAAAGGAATACTGTGAAATGGGGGGGAAATGTGGTTTCTGAAGGCTACTCCTTGCAGCCATGCAAAATCATCTCTTCCCTTTCCTTGCTTGGGACGGTTGGGTCTGCATGCACTGTTGCCAACACATGAACCATGAACTGTAGAATGAACCATGAGCCTACGTCACATGGTTCATGCTACAGAAGTATAAGATGGGCTGCTCTGTTCTCTGGGAGAGACAGGAAGCTGAGAGAGGTTTTGGCAGAGAAAAGCAAATTTCTGTCACCCTGGAGAGGGTCGAGGAAACTGGAGGTTATCCCCATTTGCCTGAGAGCCCAGGAATTCCCTCCGGTCTGGAGGCTTGTAGGGGTGAAGACAAAGAGAGGTGGCAGCAATTAGGGCAGTGTTTTCCAAACTCCCATCATCCCAGTATACCTGAAGGAATGTCTCCACTCCCGTCGTTCAGCCTGGACACTGAGGTCCAGCTCTAATGGCCTTCTGGCGGTTCCCTCACTGCAAGAAGTGAGGTTGCAGGGAACCAGGCAGAGGGCCTTCTCAGTAGTGGCACCTGCCCTGTGGAACGCCCTCCCATCTGATGTCAAGGAAATAAACAACTACCTGACTTTTAGAAAACATCTGAAGGCAGCCCTGTTCAGGGAAGTTTTTAATGTTTGATGTCTTATGTTTTTAATATTCTATTGGGAGCTGCCCAGCGTGGCTGGGGAAACCCAGCCAGATGGGCAGGGTACAAATAAATTATTATTATTATTATTATTATTATTATTATTATCCCTAGCTAGCAAGACCAGCGGTCAGGGATGATGGGAATCGTTGTCCAAAAACAGCCGGAGATGCAAGTTTGGGAAACACTGGTTCAGGGTGTGAATGGCAGACTTTGCAAGGCCGCTCTTGCAAGGAAGGATATAAGCATGCTCTCCTAGCCCCCAGCTTCTGTTACACTTGGAGGTATTTAGAGAAACAAGTTTGGAGTAAGAGTCAACCACTGGTGGCTCTCGAACCAATTCAGCTCAAGGGATTCTGCGTGGCTCCACAGTTGCCAGCAAATTGGAACACACAATTGTTGAGAAAGCAGCATCTATGGCAACAGGATTTTCACAGCCGGGATTGAATGGCTGGCCTAGTACTCTTCAGTCATTGCTCACAGTGGCTTTCCTGGAAAACTACTTGCCAACCAGGGCTTTACAGTGCCTACGAAAACATTAATATTTGGGCTGCAACTGAAGCCATTTCTGATATGCGCACGCATACTTCTGACTTGCATAACCAGTGATTTATAATACCTAGAACATAATCTTTTGAGATGACTATCCCTATTAGTTAATTGCTTATAAAAAAGAAAAAAAATATTTCCTCCAGGTGCAGTTTAAGCACTCTGCTTAGTGTCAATGTCAAAACTTTCTTTGTAAACATCAAGGTAAGTTTACTAAACTCTTCCTAAGAAACCCTATCCTCTTTCCCTCCTCAATTCCGAACTGCAAAACAAAGCAAAGATTTAAGATTTTGTTTGAATTGGTGTTAAATTGCAGCTAGGGATCCAAAGAAACCCTTTCAGGGCTGAATTACGACTCAGATGAAAACATTAACAAAGCCCAAGAATTTCAACCCAATAATTCAGGCTCCCTAAGTGTTCATTTAAATGAAACTCATTCATTTCCAAACTAATAATTTATATTTTTAATAATAAATAAATAAAACTCCCATTAATTTTAGTAACATTTTGACATTGACTGTAGTCATACAAATAAATATTTCTCTTATAAGCAGAGCTAGACTTAACCCCCACACCCAAAGAAAAACTCTTTCGCAACTGGAGGGCAGACAGAACAAGACCAGAACTGGATACAATGCAAATCTGTTTATCAAATGATTGATAATAGACCAGTTGATAAACTGATCAATACTTTTAGCACCATTTCTATGTTTGTCCCCCTCCCCCCCAAAAATAATCCATGTAGACTCATGATCAGAAATAGTAAGATTTCATGTGGCTTATTTTCACAGGACCCCCCCTAAATATTCATCACAGCAGATGACCAATTCAGACAGACCAATTCAACTCAGCACCGTGGTGCCACGAAAATTGTTACGAAATAATTTGGCGATGCCGCAATTTCTGTATGCCTAAGGCCTCTTGAGTCAACACCACCAGAGATTCTTTTTTTCTTTTTGCGAGAAGAATTCCAGGTATCAAGCTTGAGAAAAGCCGCTTCCTGAGAACTGGGAGACTTGCTGCCCCCTTTAGTGTACAGCACAGAAACAAGCCCCAAAGTAAAGACGAATATTAGTGCTGCAAATATTTTGCGGGAGCTGGAAGGGGCAGTGGGATGTATACAGTAAGTAGTCAGACCGTGAGAACCACAAGCTTTTAGCAGACCGATTTAAAAAGAAAAAAGGAACGTATAGCTTGCTTCTAATTTATCATTTATTAGTAGCTCTCACAGAACCCAAAACACAGCTTTTAACTTCCCTGGAACACGGACCAGTAAGCAATGAAGCGGCAGCAGCAATGTCACCTTGAGCCTAATGACCCAAAGGCATAATATCGCCTACAAAAGCAGCTGCTTTTATTTTAACAGCTACGGGGGGGAAGGGGGTGGTAAAAGAGCCCTGGCCTAGTTGAACTACGAGCTACAAGCAGTACAGCAGTGGATACATGGGCAAAATCCAGGTCCAAATCTCAAAATGAAACCCTGGATTAACTCGACACTAATGTTACTGCGTGAGGCTATAAACTGGAGACCCAGGTCACATTCACATAGACCCACACACATTTAAAGTACACATTTACTACTCTTAACTGCCACAGCTCCCCCTCCCCCCCAAAAAAAGAATATTGGGAATTGTAGCTTGTTAAGGGCGCTGAGGGACGGGAGTGGCGCTATGGGTTAAACCACAGAGCCTAGGACCTGACGATCAGAAGGTCGGCGGTTCGAATCCCCGTGATGGGGTGAGCTCCCGTTGCTCAGTCCTGGCTCCTGCCAACATAGCAGTTCGAAAGCACGTCAAAGTGCAAGTAGATAAATAGGTACCCCTCCAGCGGGAAGGTAAACGTCGTTTCCGTGCGCTGCTCTGGTTCGCCAGAAGCAGCTTAGTCATGCTGGCCACATGACCCGGAAGCTGTACCCCGGCTCCCTCAGCCAATAAAGCGAGATGAGCGCCGCAACCCCAGAGTCGGCCACGACTGGACCTAATGGTCAGGGGTCCCTTTACCTTTAATGGTGCTGAGAGTTGGAAATTTGTAAGGGATCTCTTAACAACCCGGCTCTCTTAACACACTATTGTTCCCAATGTTCTTTTGGGGGGGGGGGGAAGAGCTACGGCTGTTTAAAGTGGGATACAACACAGCTGTAACTGTACGGCCTGGATGTGGCTCCACAGACCATCTTGGAACACAAACCACCTGGAATACAACCAGAGTAAATAACTTTAGTACAGTATTTGCAAACAGCAGCAGCAAGACTAAATAAGCGAAGAGTGGTTGTGGAGCAAAATGCAGGTGGAGAATAGGAAACATCAGTTTTCGTTTACCTGACTAATAACCACCTACACTGAAGGACGTTAGTCAAGTTGACCAGACGTTAAGCTAATCATTACACATAAAGCTCTTTAAAAACTGTGTAACATTCCTAAGTACTTCATCACTTGAAGTTTCTCCCCCCCAAGCCTTAGAAGGTCATTTGACTCACCCACTTCCCACACTTCCACTCATTGCTGAGAAAACTTTCCAGATCATATGCCTATAAGGATGAAAAGCATAGTCTCCTGACTACTTGGCCCAGAATGCATTGGCCCTTTATCTCAGAGTGGACAGGAGAGAGCAGCGTTAGAAACTGAGATATGAAAGCGAAGAGCTAAATGGCACCTTAAACTGAGGTTATGGGCGCAACAACGGAATGTATTGACGTGCTTTTTTTATAACCAGAATGCATAGCTGAAAAATGAATGAACTGCAGCTAAAATATTATGTTCATTTTCACAGGGTCTAGTCCTTCCCCTACCCACCCTCCTAATATTCTTAAGAGGGTCTCTTCTCCAGTCTTCGGAAAGTAACTGGAAGTGGGGAGGCAGGAAAAGTTCCTCCTTTCCTTCCACTCTGCAGTTTTAATCAGAAATCTTAGACGCAGCGCTGCATCCAGACCTCAGAAACGGCTTGCGCTGATGACATTCCCTCGATGCGCCTAGAACATGGGTAGGCAAACTAAGGCCCGGGGGCCGGATCCGGCCCAATTGCCTTCTAAATCTGGCCCATGGACTGTCTGGGAATCAGCGTGTTTTTACATGAGTAGAATGTTTTATTTTTTATTTAAAATGCATCTCTGGGTTATTTGTGGGGCCTGCCTGGTATTTTTACACAAGTAGAATGTGTGCTTTTTATTTAAAATGCATCTCTGGATTATTTATGGGGCATAGGAATTCGTTCATTTCTCCCCCCAAAAAATATAGTCCAGCCCCCACAAGGTCTGAGGGACAGTGGATCAGCCCCCTGCTGAAAAAGTCTGCTGACCCCTGGCCTAGAACAATGGGAGTTTCAAACGTTGGCTGTGACAGAACAAAAGCAAGCAGGGCTGCAGAGAGAGAGGATCAGAAGGAATGTGGGAACGTGGCAGGTCTCCTTAGCAGATGAGTTCAGGGCTGGGGAAACTGTGGCCTTCCAGTTGTTGGGACAGATGCCATCAGCTCCAGCCAATGGCAGTGGATGATGGGAGCTCAAGTCCAGCAAGATCCAGAGGACCACAAATTTTCTGAGGACTTCTGTTTCTACATGTTTGATACTCTTTTGCAACTTGATTGCACCAGGATTCAACAAACTCAACTGCAATATGTTTGAAAGTTGAACAGGTAAGTGTATGTCTAGGGACAATGAATAAAACAAACATGATTAGCTGTACTGCTGGATAAGTGTTTAATTGTTATTTGTTTAAATTGATATTTGTTTAAAAAGCAAAAAAAGTTTTATTAAAAAACAAACACAACTGCAAAATAAAAATACATTTTTTAAATGCCAAGTCTGTAAAATACAAAGTCTTGTATTATTGTAAAATACAAAGTCTTGTATTTTTGAGACTTCTGCGAATAAAAAATCCAGTGTTTTCTTCCATCTTAGATTTGTAAAACAGCCGTTATAAATGTACTTCTGTTCATCATCGTTAATAGATATCTATCTTCTGCCCTTCGGGATCGGTGTCCTCATTATGCAGCAGGCAAATGCCATCACAAAACCTAACTCGAAATAATTGAATTCTACAATTAAACCCCTTGAAAATAAGCAATAAAAAAAACCAGTTGGTCATAGCAACGGAACCGAATGAATAATGTATACATAGATGATTGATAGATAGATAGATAAAATATATATGTCTTCAGGGTCCTTTTAAAAGTCACTAGTGAGAGAGCCACACATGAAGTCAAGTCAGATCATTTCCCGCAGACATGGGTCACCACTGAAAAAGCCAAGTCCGTGGTTACTGTCACAGCCTAGCCTCTCTTACTGATAGCTAGAGAGCTCCCAAGGTTTATTGTAAAACTCAGGCGGGGTCATACAAATGCAGGCGGTACTTTAGGTAGGACAGTCCCTTCTGAGGTCTTTAAAGTACAAATCCAGCATTTTAGATTGAGCCTGGAAATCAGTACAGAATGGGGGTGTGGTATGATTGCTTGGCTCCAAGAGTATCCTTGCTGCTTCATCCCGTATCTCATCCACAGGGAGCTCTCATTGCTGAGCCCTAAAAGATGTGCATATGCCTCACTCTAAACGAATTATGAAGTGGTCTAATTCGGCACTAGCTAATGGCCAGTTAGAGCCTACTAAGAAGCCAATGCAGATAGTAACACATTAAGGATTTATCAGTTCAGCAAGCCAAGATGGATATTCCAGATAGGATAGCCACTCCTGCATTTTTTATCTGGTCACTCCTGTTCCATGTTCATCGTAGACATTGGCAACAGTAGAGGGCAAAATGTCCCTGCAAGGATGACTGTAGAGTTTAAATACGAACAGCACGAAAATAATCCTGCTGGTGCAGGTATTAGTTTTCAGAACTATATTCAGTAGCACTTAGCAGCTCTTGATATTTCTACTAACAGATAGACAACCTGAGAATAGTATTTCTGGAATTAAAGGAAACCAGAATGCCAAGTTATTATACGTACACGATCTATAACAAACAATGGGTACATCACCTCCCTGCTGGAAGCTATGACAGAAGGGTTACTATAGTTTTAAGGGAGCACAGAGGAAAGGGAGAGATGCTGTTCTCCACCTATCAAAAGTTGACATGAATGAGATCACTCGTCCTAGTAGTCTTGAGTCTCTGCTCACCAGGTAGACTTGCTCCCCTGCCCTGAAAGATTACCTGCAGCAGGGAAGAGTAACTACAGAATAAGTAAAGGTAAATAAGTAATAGGTCCAGTCGTGGACGACTCTGGGGTTGCAGCGCTCATCTCGTTCTATAGGCCGAGGGAGCCGACGTTTGTCCGCAGACAGCTTCCAGGTCATGTGGCCAGCATGACTAAGCCGCTTCTGGCGAACCAGAGCAGCGAATGGAAACGCTGTTTACCTTCCCGCTGGAGCGGTACCTATTTATCTATTTGCACTTGACGTGCTTTTAAACTGCTAGGTGGGCAGGAGCTGGGACCAAGCAACAGGAGCTCACCCCGTCGTGGGGATTCAAGCCGCCAGCCTTCTGATCGGCAAGCCCTAGGCTCTGTGCTTTAGACCACAGCACCACTACAGAATAGGGCATATCAACTGAACATATGATTTTTGGTGCCATGGAACACCCATTATTTTGGGCTCTCCTATCATCCAAGTTGCAAAAAATATCAAAAGGGTAGTTTACAAAAGGGTAGTTTACAAATCTTGTGAAAGCTATGCCACACTCACACATAAACCCTCAACACATCTAAGATCTCTTTTCAAGCTGCGTTACAAACCATTGCTATTGTTTAGGGTTGAAATCCCCAAAGGGATAGTTATAGTAAAGAAGAGTGGGGAACCTGTGGCCTTCTAAATGGCTAAATGGCTGGAATACAAGTCCCATCACCCTTGAACATTAGGCACGGCCGCTAAGGGTCATGGGAGTTCGAGTCCAACCACATCTGAAAGGTCACAGGTTCTCCACAATTGTTATAAAATAATGATTTATACTTTGTTTCAAGATTTAAGACAATGAATGAATGAATGAATTTCATAGGTTACTATAAAAAGACGTTCTAATACAGTCTTTCCCAACCTGGTGCCCTCCAGATGTTCTGAAAGACAACTGGTCCCCGCGATCAAGGATGATGCAGTACAGCAAAACATCTGGAAGACACTAAGTTCGTGAAGATTCCTTACGGAAACCGCATTCTCACAACACATAACCTTTGCAGCTGTTCTGTGCTGTTCAAGAATAATCCTAGCAGTTGCCCCACAAACACTCACTGTATTTTCACCACCCATTATAACTTTTATAAAATATCGCTCTTTCAAAAAGACAGACCTGCTACTTGTAAAAAAAAAAAAAAGTCCACTTCTTTGAACTACCATTGTAACGGAGTTTGGATTAGCAGGGAATTCTTAATGCTCCATTCTTAGTTAAAAGCATAAAGACACAGCAGTAGAACAAGAAGGAGCCAGGCCTAATCTTATTCTAGAATGACTTTCATTCCACTCCAATGTCTGCAGGGCTTAAAACAAATGCCTCTGGAAGACTCCACAATGACCCCACCAGATCTCTATCGCCACTGTCATTATGTCTCATTAATATACTAAAGGCAGTTTCTCTACCAGGCACGATCAAAAACACCCACTCAAAGCCCATCCTAGTCTCCAAATGTTATGGTCAATGTGGAGCTCCGTTTCATAATCAAATCCACCATCAGCTCAGAAAGGGCATGTTTACGTCTCCTGGGAATATTTCCACCCCCCGGAACATGTTCGTGCAAGTCTTAAAACCACCACGTACCCTACCAGAGCAACAGCTGCTGCTGAACTAATTCTGTGCTTCTGTGTGTATATTTTAAAGGAGATTTGCCCTTATCGGTGGAGAATATGAGAACAAATATTAACTGTTTTCTGACATGCAGTTAATGCCCAATGAATTTTTATTTTTTTAAAAAGAAATGTAATAGCTCCAGCCTTGTTGAGAATTAAGCTTCCCACGTAAGGATATAGCAAGTAAGATTAGGCTACAAGGGATCTCAGCGAAGGTTCTATAATTTCAGGTTGAGGTTGTGGTGGTACAATTGGAGCGCCAGATTCGTTCCACACATCTCCGACCTTGCTGATGCCTCTTGCCTTACCATGCCATGCCGAAACATAGACTCTGCTTTGCCAAAGCCCGAGCTCTACCCACAAACCCACCGCCACCACAGCCAAACAACCTCTGGCCACAACATCACAGTCGGACAGGGGGCTTCACTGAACAGCAGCGGCTAAGCAACTGCCATATTTTTAATGGCTTCCGTTAATGATAATCGTATTTACTTTTTTTCTGCATTTCCTTTTCACCTCTCTCCCTATTGACGCACATAATGCTGGCCCCCGTCTCAAGAATATGGACAGGAGCACCTCCCCTTGGACACCTTTAGCAGGGTACCCCACTTTCTTTGAGGTGGAAGGGGTTCCTAAGCCCCACCTCCTCTGCCTTGACCAAGGATCCAACCCAATGCCTTAGCTGCCAACCAGTTGTGACAATTGCTACGAGGTAGGCAAAACCCCCAGGCAGGCCCAATTTGACTGGAGGGGAAATTCCTGCCTGGCCCCAGATATGGTGACCAGGTACAGTGATACCTCAGGTTAAGTACTTAATTCGTTCCGGAGGTCTGTACTTAACCTGAAACTGTTCTTAACCTGAAGCACCATTTTAGCTAATGGGGCCTCCTGCTGCTGCCGCCGCGCCGCCGGAGCACGATTTCTGTTCTCATCCTGAAGCAAAGTTCTTAACCTGAGGTAATATTTCTGGGTTAGCGGAGTCTGGAACCTGAGGCGTATGTAACCTGAAGCGTATGTAACCCGAGGTACCACTGTATCTCCATGGCAATAATAATAATAATAATAATAATAATAATAATAATAAAAATAAAAAATTTTATTTATATCCCACCCTCCCCAGCCGAAGCCGGGCTCAGGGCGGCTAACAACAATAAAACAGTACAAAAGTACAACACAAACAACACTCTAAAATCATTCATTATAAAATTAATTCAAATCAAGCCACTGGCAACCATTGGGCCAGAGCTCCGCGAAGATTGCCGAGGGAGGGAGTCAGGCTGTGCCCTGGCCAAAGGCCTGGTGGAACAGCTCTGTCTTGCAGGCCCTGCGGAAAGATGTCAAGTCCCGCAGGGCCCTGGTCTCTTGTGACAGAGTGTTCCACCAGATCGGAGCCACAGGTCTACACCTTGCCACAACTTCCATGGCAAGGTCTAAGCATGACCTGCTAGCTCACCTTTGGGCAAGGCAGACTACACTGTAAAGCAGTGGTGGCCAAACTCGGCCCTCCAGATGTTTTGGGACTACAACTCCCATCATCCTAGTTAACAGAACCAGTGGTCAGGGATGATGGGAACTGTAGTCCCAAAACATCTGGCAGGCCGAGTTTGGCCACCACTGCTGTAAAGGGTGGGAGATCCAACTCTGACGGAGCTGTAAGGTCCAGGCACAGCCCCGTTAAATGCCCACCCTGAAAACATGGGGTCTGGTCCCCAGGCCATGCCCGTTGCCCCACCCACAGGATTGGCTGGTGCCAAGGTTGGCCACAGTAACCCCCGTGGCTGAAGAAGGAAGTGGCATCCTCTGCAGGCCACGTCAGGCGCAAAAGGCTTCCCTGGCTTGGCGGAGAGCCATACAAACGCCGCTCCCTGAGAACGGTGAGTAGAACTTCCTATCATGGAATCTTTTTCACAGGCTTCAGGCGCAACTCCTGATTTCATGGGACATAAAACTGTATAACCTGTTTTAGGCCCACTGTAATTACAGAGAAGAACAGCAATGCCTGTTATTTAAGATGCCCAACAACCTTTGACTCTAATTGTTATTTGCAACAGTTATTTACATCGTAAAGCAGTAAGCAAGTACTGTAATTTTCCACACCTGGTCTGTAGCCCAGAACATCATGGTGTGTGTTTTTTTGAAGACTTAGTAAACAATGGCCTAATTACACTGGAGACTTTAATTGCAAACATTAAGAAAGGGGAAATTTTAAACTTTAGGGAAACTTTCACAGCAATCTGGTTTCTCCGCACCTCTTAAGATATGAAAGACTACATCATCTAGCGTTCAAAAAAACTTGACTTTTCAGAGGCATATTGTATATTTCCTGATGTGGGTTTTCCTCATTTCCTTTTACCATACCATTCATTGATTTCCCCCTGGCTTTTATTGATTTCATGACCTTGGTGGGCTTTGTTGCAGATATGTGTTGTTGCTTCTGTTTGCTGCTCTTTTGTGTTCTTTAGTTCATTCATGCAACAAGCGTTGGTTTAATTATTTAATGCTGCTTACCACTTTAATTTGGAGGGAAGATAATGCCAGTTAAACATTTTTTTTAAAAAAGTGAAATTTTTTAAACATAAAGAGGAAGAGGAAGTAGACAATAGTGAACAATGTAAAATGGGTGTGTTCTTGTTTTTAAATGGAAGAAACTAAAGCAGATTCAAAAGGAAGCTCAGCCAAAAAATTAAAATGTTACAAAAAGAGAAATAAGCACTGCAGGAATCAGCGCTGGTAGTAGGGTTTTTTGTTTGGAGGTTTCTTTTTAAGTATGAGGATTAATATGACCACTAGTACAAGTAGTTTTATATGAGGAAAAATTAATAGGAAGGTCACCAGAAGAAGGCAACAGAGATGTTTCAGAAAGAGGCGGCACGGAAAGCAAATAATGAGCAGAGTAGCAGAAATATAGCGGAATGAACAGCAGATTATAAATCGGGGGGGGGGGGGGAGACTGAGCTAAAACTTCATGCGTTAGCAGGAAAGAAGCAGTACAATGATGGAACTAAGAACTGCCTAAAAAGAGGCAGAGTTTGAGAAGAGACATGGGGGTGGCAAACCACAGCAACTAGAGTATTAGCAGGATAATACCCTTCTAGTTCTGTGAGACAGAGGAATGGGGAGCTTGTTGCAGCAGGAGGGGCAGACACCGGAGACTCTTCAGCAGCCTGACTCATCTCTTCCTCTTGGCCTCCCTTGTCCCACTCACAGGCTCCGGTTTCTGCCTCCGATTCTAGACTTCTCTCTACCACGATTCTTCCTGCTCACTAAATCCTGTTACCTCTTCAGCTTCTGGCACACCCTCTTCCCAGTCTTCTGGCCACTCATCGTTGTCCCACCACCACCACACCCCGGGCTCTGAGCCTCCTTCCCTTGGTGGTTCCCCCCACCATTCCTCTGCATCCAACCAGCCCATGACCCCCCCGTCAGCTGCTGCTAGTCAGTGTAGGCAATACTACGCTAGACGGACCAATGGTCTGATTCAGTATATGGAAGCTTCCTGTACAGTGAAATCTCGTGTTACGTACTGTCCTCCTTGCGAACGCTTCGAGTTATGAGCTCCGCTAACCCGGAAGCAGATACAGTGGTACCTCAGGTTAATAACTTAATTCGTTCCGGAGGTCCGTTCTTAACCTGAAGCACCACTTTAGTTAATGGGGACTCCTGCTGCCGCTGCGCCGCCGGAGCACGATTTCTGTTCTCATCCTGAAGCAAAGTTCTTAACCCGAGGTACTATTTCTGGGTTAGCGGAGTCTGTAACCTGAAGCGTCTGTAACCTGAGGTACCACTGTACTCCTGGTTGAGAACAATGCCCCGGGATGCGAACAGAAGTCGCACGCCGACGGCAGCGGGAGGTGCCATTAGCGAAAGCGTGCCTCATGTTAAGAACGGTTTCGGCTTAAGAATGGACCTCCGGAACAAATTAAGTTTGTAACCTGAGATACCACTGTATTTCCCTTCCTCACTCCCACCCCCAAGCAATCCAAGTAGGACACTCCAAAGTGCCATTTGTTTTAATGGAATAGATTTTAGCATCTGCTTACTTCTCCCACGGCCATCGTTAAGGCTTAAATGTGCTTGCAAAATAGAGGAAGTAATGCATAGGTCTCCGTTCTGCTTTCAGGAATGTTGGGCCACATCTTAAAAGATGTTTATCTCAAGTGTATTATTCAAAGAGCAGTCATGCTGTATTCAGCAGTGAATTCAGTGGGGAAGTTACACAGTGATCTTATCACAAGTTTGGAAAAATATCTGTACGACTTGTTTCCTTACTAATTTTCTTCCTTCTGGTTAAATTCATCTCTGTAAGCGTTCCTGTTCCAAATATTTATTTTAAAATCTGAACCATTTCTTATTATTCATTATTTGGCATATATCCTTTGCCTCTACAGCAGTTATCAGTTCTGCTGAAATGCTTGTTCTTGTCATTTTGGCACCTGTTTCTGAATTTTAAAAATGTGTCCCCCCCCCCCAAAAAAAAAACCACACAGAAAGCATAAAGGGGAATCTATTTAGTTTATAAAAACAGATTATTGGGGTCTTGCAGATTTAACTTAAATAAATCACCATGTTTCAAGTGCTTTTGACTTACACAGTGTGAATAAATCAGTGCTCAAGAAAAACAAGTAATGAATCAAAGCTTCCAAGTTAGAAGGCAGATTTATATTATTTTCCCAACTTGGGTACTTTCTAATCAGCAAGGCTGCCTTGGCTCTGGATGCTTCAGGAGGCTGTATCTGCCAAACAGTTTGTTTTGCTGGCCTCGGAAAAACAGATTCATGAATTATATAAAACCCATTATGTTTTAGCAAAAATCCCTATCCCTATCGCTACGGTCATTAAATTTATCTGGCTCTCACTACAGCGGGGCTCGAGAAATTTCACTGCCAGTATTAAGAACATAGCTGCGAAGTACTTTTATTTTAAAAGCAAGGCAACCTTCATTAGAGGCTATTTCCCCACCACCTGTTTCTTTCATACGCTGAAGAGAGAGAGAGGTAGAAGGTGCACAGCTATTGTTCAACTTGTAGGCTACTTCTTGCAATTCCCAGAAATGGGATTCCATAAACAGCATTTTACACTGCTATTTAACATATGGGTTTAACATAAAGAACAGGGAGGTAAAAGTTAAAAAGAAGACTAGTACAAGAGGTTGGATACAAGGGGTTGTATATCAGAGACTCCCTGAAATTAATGGACATTGGTTCAATGGCTCTACTCCAAATACATCATAGCTAGATGCAACCGAAGATCTGTGTGAGAGAGGTGATAGCTGAATGGCATTTTTAAACGACTTAGATTTCCCTAAATGGGGTGTTAGGGGAAGGGTAGTACCTCTGGTGGGGGATAAGTTATTCTCCTTCAGAGGTAGTTTGTCCACTTTGGGACCTCACCCTGCACTCAGCTCTCACCAGTGGTTCCTAGAAGCTCTCAACATGCAGCAGTGGGCACACCGGATAAACCAGGTGAGGGTAGCCGATGGGTCTCAAACCCTCTGTGCGTTAGGGACTTGCCCCCTGCATATGAAGACAAGTTCTGATTCCAACAGTCAAGAAGGTGGTTTCTGCACGTGCTGCAGAGGAAGGTGAGGGGCAGATGGGGTTCATCAACCTGGGAAGGTAGCCCATCTAGGAAAAGGAAAACTCTGATACTAAACCTCCACTGCCTTGCGGGAGATCTTCAGGAGAAGAAACGGCTAAGGAGGAAATCCTACACAAATCCAGAGTGGAGACCCTATGATGGTGGGATAGTGCCTTGTATACCTCCTTCCAGCAAGTCAAGGTGGCGCCAAACATATTGCTTGTTGGGATATTCCGCTCCACCTTAAGAACAGACGTGTGGAATTGTTGTATGTCACATGTCTGTTTACATTCCAGCACAGCTTGCTGGGAACTTCCGTTTGTGTATAGCTTTTGCTTTTGCTGTCTTGCTTTGGACACGAAGGAGATTAGACATGTTTCCTTTTGTCCTGCTGTATGCTGAATAAACTGCAAGAAGATCAAGCCTATCCATTCTGAAGGAAATCAGCCCTGAGTGCTCACTGGAAAGACAGATCGTGAAGCTGAGGCTCCAATACTTTGGCCACCTCATGAGAAGAGAAGACTCCCTGGAAAAGACCCTGATGTTGGGAAAGATTGAGGGCACAAGGAGAAGGGGACGACAGAGGACGAGATGGTTGGACAGTGTTCTTGAAGCTACGAACATGAGTTTGACCAAACTGCGGGAGGCAGTGGCGTGCTCTGGTCCTTGGGGTCACGAAGAGTCGGACATGACTAAACGACTAAACAACAACAACAAATATGCTCACATAGCTTCTCCTGCCACTTCTGTTGTGTAGCGTTTACTCTGCTCAGTAGCGTGCCCTAGCTTCTGAAACTTGGGTTGCAGATTTATGCTGCACCAAGGACTGGAGATCGCCCGGCACACCGGCTGGTGGGCTGGAGCCAGCTAAGGGCCTGTCAATTGCCCCCATTTCCTTGGTTGCATTCCTTTCCTTTAGACCACATCAAGGAGGGCAAGAGAGGTGGGTCTTGTTGTTTAGGCAGCCCAGGACCTCCATCCTCACTGCCCTGGCTTGTGCCCCAGGAAGGTCACCTTAGTGCTGCTAACACAGCGGTCTGACTTCACCCCTGGAGGCGCACTCCATTGCCTCTGAAGACAGATGGATGCAAAGGCAAGATTTCCCTGCGATCAGATTTTCGATAGCATTGCTTACCTTAGCAAGATTAGTCGAAAGGTAAGCAAAGAGCTTATCTGCCAAACCGACAGAGAGGGAAAAAGAGGGAGCAGTACAAAGTATGTATTCATCAAGTTGGGCAAACCTGACTCTATGATTAGCTCAGCTCAGGTACGGAAAGAGGGTTTGTAGGCCACCCAGTGTGCAAGCAGGAGCTTGACACTTGAAATGGAGGACAGAGAAACTGGAACCTAAACTGCAGCTGGTAGAAGGGACCACACAAGATCAGAAGGTCAGGCCGTCAGCCGTGGCCAGTCCAGGAGTATCATACAGACTGATGTTACATACCACTGCCTTCATCCACATCTAAAGACAGTTCTGAGGCCTAAATACACAGTCCATGATAGCGCCTACCTCAGGCCAGGAGGTTCCTGGCAGTACCATTTTATGGGCACAATATATGTCAGGTATTAGCTACCTGAAGGTGGGGAAACAGTTCTAAAATGGGCATGAACACCTTTGGGTTACAAACCTACCCTCAGTCGTGTGTCACTCTTAGGATTCCCCTCTCTGCCCCCTTCTAGTGTTTTCAGCATGCTATTACACAGAGTGGGTAAAATAGCCTGCATAGAGAAAAATGCAATGAATAAAAGAACATATATACCGATCTGTAGCTCCTACAATAGTAGGCAGATGAAGCCTATTTTTCTTGGAAGGGTGAAAAAGAGACAGTGTTTTCTTTCATGTTCAATGGCAGACATCCTAAAGTCTAACCTCAAGCAGCACCCGTTCCTTCGTTCACTCATTGCCTTTCTGTCAAAAGATCCCTAAGCCAACTTATAACAGGTTGGTAACAATATCAAGCGAAAAACAACCCACCAACCCACCCCGCCTCCAACTTGCAAGTACTTTCTTATTAAAACCCTGAAGACCCCTATTTCCCCCCCACAAAGGGCAATGTTCTAGTTCTCATTGTTATGGAGAAAACAAAAAGAAGATAGCAAGATACTCTAAATCAGCATTTCCCAAACTTGGGCATCTAACTGTTTTTGGACTAGAACTCCCATCATCCCTAGCTAGCAAGACCAGTGGTCAGGGATGATGGGAACTGTAGCCCAAAAGCAGCCGGAGTCACAAGTTCGAGAAACGCTACTCTAAAGGTTCAAAGCGAACATACCCACCGGAAAGAAAACGTCAAGATGTTTGCAAAACCAGTTTCTAAATCTATCCCAGTTTAGGTAGCATTTTCTCACTGAAGCGTTGTTATAGCATCCACAAGAATATTTACAGGAACAGAGAGGCGGTCTATTATGATACAGGGAACTTAATAGAAAAAGACATGGCACTTCCTGTCCTACAGCCTCTAGACTGTCTCTCCGTGCCAAAACACCCAAGATGCTCTTTCACTTCTCCTTGCCTCTAGCACAATTTTAACATGTAAACACATCTACTGTGCATACACAAACTCTTTCTTTAAACTTCAAACAGAAATGCAGGAAGTTGCTGAGTTCTGACTCTTTTTATAGGGTGGGGCACCATCTTTTTTCTTTTCTTTTTTAGTATGCACACTGTGTTCCAACCATTTTCAAGAATATCACACAAAGGTCGTGTTTTCTTTTGTCTACCTGCCATAAACTTACAAAAGAATGCACACAGGCTGACATAAACACATCATGCTTTCCTAGGGAACAGTTATTCAGATTAAAATCTAATTCAATCTGGAATTACCGGTAATTGTTCCAGCCCTATACGATATATCTATATGCATATATGATATATCTATATGGACAAGGAGTTTCTTGCAGACAGCACGCAACCAGTTCAGCAAGGCATGAGTTATGATTCCTTTAAACAGAAAAGTGAGCTGTTTTGTTTCTGAACATGCTACTGACGGTCAATGCCTTTGCATGGCTGCTCCTCCTTCTAACTAGTGAAAAGCAAGCCACAGTGAGGAAGAAGTCCCAAGCTTGGTTCTGGCATAATTCAAAAGGTTATTGAAGAGTTAGAGGAATAAATTATGCCCTTAAAAGCCCCATTCTAAAAACTCTTTGTTTCTTACTTGAGATTTCCCTACGGTTTGGAGCCAACGGGTTATTCCCAGCTAAGTTATACTCAACAATAGACCCAGCAAAATTAATCAATTTACTCTGAGTATGACTAACGTTGGATATGACTCAATATTTTTATGGTTGCCTGGCTAGGTTTTTTTCGCCTTAATTTTTTGGGTGTTTATTTTTTTATTTTTTAACTGCAGCTTCTGGTTCCATCCCTCCCTCCTCAGGGATTGTTTAACATATAAAAAAACCAAACATCTTTATATGGATATTTATTTCCAGACCTTCTAGACAGCTTACTACAATTAAAGTCAGTTAACTATACACAGTAATATTCCATTAAAAAAAAAAAAGATGAGTACGACAAAATAGAAGCAGGCTCAGAAGATAAAGGAAATTATTTGCTAGGCAAAACAATGGATGCACACACACACACACACACACTATGGGTATAACATTAAGAACGTGGAGGTAAAAATTGAGAAAAGACTAGCATGAGGGGTTGGATACAAACTGTTGTAGATCCAACTAAGCCGTACTCAGAGGAGACTCACTGAAATTAATGGACATTGATTTCAATGGCTCTGCTCCAAGTATGTCTGGGCTAGATGCAACCGAAGATCTGTGTTAAAGAGATGACAGCTGAATGGCATTTTAAAATGACTTAGATTTCCCCGTACGTTTTACCATCCAGTGGAACACGGTCAAACAAACCTCCTGGACCACAGAATTTTGGACCTTTGGGATGATCACTGAAAACACCCCTTCTGTTGTTTCCCATCAGCCAAACGACTCTCCTGATCTGTTCACTGGCAAATACGCACTTGAGATTCAGCTATGCCCTCCGTGTCTTTAGAACCGTCAGCACCTTGGACAGCAACTTCCCCCCTCCCCAAAAACAGGGGGGTTCAAAGAAAGCACAAGGTCTTTGAGGATGGCACAGGCCTCTTTCTTGACGTGTGGCCCATGTCCTACACAGATGTAAGCATCAGGTAGGCAAAAGCATTTGCACCATCCCTATTAAACTGCACTGCAGGGTATTTGTTTCGACACGAGTATGTCAACTAACTCATTGGCATGCATGGCAGGTTTGTGCTGCGCCATCTCTGCCGACAGAACTATCCTTCAGCCTGCCATTTAGGTTAGCAGAAATCAGCAGAGGGATGGCCCAGCCATTACAGAAACTTGTGGACACAAGGTGAATCAGTGCCCGATATCGGGGAAAGCTCTCCGCCTACCCTAAGCACATAGCCCAGTAGCATATTGTTGGGTTCGCCAGATTCTTCCAGTGCAATCTACTCTACTGAAATTATCAGCTCACTTCCGCTTTCAACTTACAGTGCAAGTACTCTTGGTGTCGATACACAAAAGAGGTGCTTTTTTCCTCCCAACCCACTGATGTGCTGTAGCAACTCAGCAGGAAAAAGCAATCCTAATTAGGAATTCATATTACACTGCAGCTCCATCTAAACTAAACTAAAATTAAGAGTTCATGGTTAAAGTATGCCCCAAATGGCAAGTTCTGTCTTAGAGTGTTGAAATTTAGGCAGCATTATACATGGCCGGCCTTCAGGAAGTGCAAGGTTCTGCTGAATGATAAAAGGACTCCTTTGTAGCTGACAAGATGATGAATGAACACACACAGCCATGCAAGGCTACACTACCCACGCCTAAACAGCATTTCCTTCTTAGGCATGCATTAAATTAAAAGCCAGACCAACAAGTAAATGGTACCCATCTTTATCCCATGAAAATACAAAATTGGAAGCGTCCAAATGACAAAATAGCTCCACATTAAGACATTTTGTTCCTTTTGTACATCAGGGAATCCCCAAACTGCTACTATCCTAGGTTAAATTGACAGGATCTTTTGAGCTTCCCTGCATACAAGATGAATGTAAACACAAGCAGTTCAACAAAGCATGGCTAACTTTCTCCTTGGCCAGAGGCTGGGAAATCAAAGGACCATATGCCACATGGCATGCTTGAAGCATGTCAAGAATGTAAACCATCTTCCAAGAAGTCAAAAGCCCACAATTCAAAATAAGTAAGAGAGAGAGAGTGAGTGTGATATCAATAACCTCTAGCTTTATTCCACAACCCATGAAAAATAATGTTAACTGGTGGGTGGGACTAAGAGAGGGAACCTCTGCTCAATACACTTAGGCCAGAGACTGTGCCAATGTTCAATTTTCTATTTAAAAGACATATCAGTGTCTTATAACACTAGGAATAGGCTAATGACTCAACCTGGTGTCTTATGTAGGCAAGCAATTTATAGCCAAATTTAGAAGCATTTCGTATCGGTAGCAAAAATATAAGCCCACAGTTTTTATTTTAGCACCTGAGAAAAACAGATCTCCAGGCATTAAAATGAATACAGTCGGACATTCTTGTAAGTTGGACTTGAATGTGCGTGCTGCAAAATTCCATGTGGTTTTCACCCAAGCAGTAGACTGGAGGAGGGAGGCTGCCTAGTCAAGCCTCTTCTTCAATCTCCTCTCCCCCTCCCTGAACAATCCAATAAAGACTTAGCAGCGCTTTGGCAAAGCCAAATATAGAGAAGTATTTCGGTAACCTACGACGTAACATTTGACACACAAACACCCCAGCACTATTGCATGCAGCTCAAAATGGTACAGTCATCTGCTCTTTGTGTAGACAAGCCCACAATAATAATAAAAATTCTGATACTTTTAACATCACCAACGTATAAAACCCATAGGCACACTGTGCATTTCTATCCAAACCTTCAAAAGTTACCATATTTTTCCGTCTATAAGACGCTCCCATGTATAAGACGCCTCCTATTTTGGGGGACTCAAGATTTAAGAAAACCCACCCATGGCACTATCCGTGTATAAGACGCCTCCTAATTTTGGACATTATTTTTGGGGGGAAAACCTTAGTCTTATACACGGAAAAATACGGTACTTCCTGTCTGCTGCTGGTATAGTTTGAGGGGCAAGCAAGAGTTGGGGACTCATTCAAAGAACCAACTTTCCCCATCATTCTGTGACAGGGAGAATATGCTATCTGATACAAAATGTCATAAACATGCCATCTGCTCCCAGAGATTCTCTGTTAATTCCAAAAACTCAAATTTGAGCCTAAGAGATTTCTAGGGTAAACAGAGAGTTCCTTGGGTAACTGGGCTATGTAGCAGTTTTTGCACCCAATTTCTTTCATTTATTCTTTAAAAACCATGTCAGCGTGAGCTGGGGAAACTACCTCCAGCAAATCTGGTTCGATAAGCTTCTGTCAGGTATGGAAACTAGCAACAGGTGCCTCAGTAATTATATTGCTACTGTCACTTTTGACTTTTGAGTAGAGATGTACAGCCTGAAGTTTTCAAGGCAAGCTTTCCAAGTAGCTCCTGGTGGTCTGAATCCACACAATCACTGGATTTTGCTTTAAATTCTGCTTATAAGGTCTTCACTAGTAACCAGAAGTGGGAGAGAATTATTCCACTCAGGTTAGCCCCATAATGGGGACACCTGAGTCAGCGGTAGCAGTCACATGTCACAGAGGCAACGTGCTTTATGCAACCGCAGGCAAAGAGGCAGAGAATTATTAATTAATGGGAAAGGTTGTGCTCATACAGCTTGCATGAGATGCATCTAAAGTGGGTTAAAAGCTCTAGCTGTCCAATGTGAAAAGTGACCAGTGAAAAATATAGCTACTTTCATAACCAGCAGCTGGGAATATAAAAGAAAATAGCCTAGTCATCCCAAACCATCACATGGATCTCTGCATGCACGGAAATGAAAGATGAAGATTCAGGTTATTGGGACGTTAGAAATCAGAAAGGTACAGAACTGCAAGACAAACATTTACACAGGAAAAGAAAGCTGAACGAAAGTGCATCCTGCAATAGCTGGCATATCTGATCCCTGTGCTAACCCCGAAACAAATGACCAGTGCTAGAATATCAGATATATACCGTATTTTTTGCTCTATAAGACTCACTTTTTCCCTCCTAAAAAGTAAGGGGAAATTTGTGTGCGTCTTATGGAGTGAATGCAGGCTGCGCAGCTATCCCAGAAGCCAGAACAGCAAGAGGGATTGCTGCTTTCACTGCGCAGCGATCCCTCTTGCTGTTCTGGCTTCTGAGATCCAGAATATTTTTTTTCTTGTTTTCCTCCTCCAAAAACTAGGTGCGTCTTGTGGTCTGGTGCGTCTTATAGAGCGAAAAATACGGTAACCTAATTGCCAAACAGCACCTTAAATCTATGTTATGGTCACCACAATGGAATGTCTAGACGCCTTTTCCCCCATTGAAGTTTATTATTATTATTATTATTATTATTATTTCATTTTACTACTATACCGCTTTATATTTTAAAGAACAAATCTCAAGGCTGTTTACAAGACATTGAAACCTTAAATAAAACAATCCAGAATAAAACAAATTCAAGCTGCAAGGAAAATATTTCCAATCCTTCTCTAAGTTACATTTTGCTTTTCCCAGTTGCCATCCTGGCATCCAGAGATCTGCACATGGTTGCAACTGGACCCATGCCTGTTGCAAAATGCGCCTAGCGCCTGGCTAATTTCTAACACTGCAAGTGACTAACCCGTAAAGGACTCACAAAGGACTTTCCATGTGTACCAGAGATATGCCAGCATTTGCTATAGAGAGGTACATTTCTAAACATGCAATGGACATGCACCAAGGGAAAAACACCCCCAAGACTGCTTCCCTCTCAGTTGAATCCCCCCACTAGTATTTCAGAATATTCTCTCCCCCCCCCCCCACTTCACCTCTTTACAAGTTAGCCAAAGCAAATGCCCATCCACACTGCATAAAACGCAAAGCAACTTTTAGAGGTGGTTTGGATGCAACATGCCAGGCATAATAAAGCGCGGCTTATCAAATGATCATTTTGTGTGATTAGCAAACAGATATAAACCACAGTTCTCCATTTGGGGCACAGTGGTTGAAAGACCAAAGAGCTGGAGCCAAAGCTCACTTCCAGCTGGATAAACAATAGTTAATTGAGCCATAAACACTTTGACTAAAACAACCCTCGGGACAATGATGGATGGGAGTTTTTGCAGAGTCTTCTGCAGTGTAGTCTATTCCACCTTCCTATACATCCCCCAATTGCACGTTAAGAGGCAGGTAAATATTTAACTACCAAATAAACTCTAGCATTTTGGAAGAAGGATGCAAGTGAAATCATTATTGTGTGGGGTAGAAGCAAAATTCGAGGAAGGTGATAGCCGGAAAGGCTGTGCCTAATTCAGCAATAATTTCAGCCAACAGAACCCCATTTGCAGATTACAAACCTCATTTTGCTTTTTACATCAAAATCTCACCCACAGAGCTCTCTAACAGCAGCTAGTCACTAGGTAAGAAAACTTTTCAAACTGCGGGACGAGGTAACCACGTACAGAATGGCATCTCACAGGCAACCAGTGTTAGAAACTCAGATATTTAAGTTAGGCTGGGGTTGCCCTGTTCAAAAAGTAAATCTACACTTCTGACATGGGTTGCCCAGACATTTAAGCGAGCTTTGCCCAGACACTGTTTCCGATGGCCGAAACCAGGCAGTGTCCAGGATATGTATAGCAACCCTAGGGGCCAAATGGCTCCTCCTGAAAACCAAGGTTAAAGGTAAAGGGACCCCTGACCATTAGGTCCAGTTGCTGACGACTCTGGGGTTGCGCCGCTCATCTCGCTTTACTGGCCGAGGGAGCCGGCCTACAGCTTCTGGGTCATGTGGCCAGCATGACTAAGCTGCTTTTGGCAAACCAGAGCAGCGCATGGAAACACATTTACCTTCCCGCTGGAGCAGTACCTATTTATCTATTTGCACTGCGTGCTTTCGAACTGCTAGGTTGGCAGGAGCAGGGACCGAGCAACGGGAGCTCACCCCATCGTTGGGATTTGAACCGCCGACCTTCTGATCAGCAAGCCCTAGGCTCTGTGGTTTAACCACAGCGCCACCCGCGTCCCTAAAACCAAGGTTACATCTGCCAAAACAGAATGTCTAGCTGCCATTTTGGGCCAAGATGGATCTAGAGTCTTTTTTAAAAAAAGGATGGACTGTGATTGATTCTCAGTTAAACATCTGGCTAGTTCAGGCGACAAGCTAGATTAAGAGCTTTGAGGACTTAAAGATGAAAAGTCAGTTTGTCCAGGGACAGTCCACATATATATTGGCCTATTCCAACCTCTTTTTCTTAATGGTGACACAGACCATTCATAACATAATATGCTTCGCAACTGTGAGCAGGGCAGTGGGGTTGGGATTTGGGTTCCTTAAATTCATTCCGATTGTGCTAACAAAACAGAACTGATAGACTTCGAAAGGTGGTTTGCATGAAGCCTGGTGGCCCGTGCAAAAGTCAACGTGCATCGATGTTTCGTGAGACTGATACAAGCACAGCTCTGCACCTGCTAATGGCTCGCATGTGACTTCTTCCACATGGAACACTGGCAGCTACAAAAAGCGGAACAAGTGGCTGCGCCTCCAGAGGCATGCATGCCAGTCAGCCCCTGCAGGAATGCTTTTCAAAATCTTGCGGTGCGGAGGGGGAAAATTACCTCCCTTCCCTTGTAGAAGATGCACATCCACAACGCAGCTAAAGACTTAATTTTTAATGCACCCCAAAATTTAGTCTATATTCAAATCACGGTCTGATGGTAGCCAGAACACACAGGAAGAGTCATGTGCCGGTTTTGGCCCCGCTCTCTCCGCCATCCGAATCTGCCGTCTTTATCTGAACAAAAACCATGAAGCAAGGAAGATGGTGTGATAAATTATTGGCGTGGCAAAGCCTGCCTTTTGTTTGGTTGCCATGAGTAGCCGATGGGCTCCTGCCCAGTTCAAAATGGCTCAAGAAACAAAAAGGATCAAAATGAGCACAGTGCTGTCCGAGACAACTCAGTCCTCATCCCTATAGGTTTGCTTAATGCAAAGGCAAAGGGACCCCTGACCATTAGGTCCAGTCGTGGCCGACTCTGGGGTTGCGGCACTCATCTCACTTTATTGGCCGAGGGAGCCGGCATACAGCTTCCGGGTCATGTGGCCAGCATGACTAAGCCACTTCTGGAAAACCAGAGCAGCGCACGGAAACGCCATTTACCTTCCCGCTGGAGCAGTACCTATTTATCTACTTGCACTTTGAAGTGCTTTCGAACTGCTGGGTTGGCAGGAGCAGGGACTGAGCAACGGAAGCTCACCCCGTCACGGGGATTCGAACCGCCGACCTTCGGATCAGCAAGTCCTAGGCTCTGTGGTTTAACCCACAGCGCCACCACAGTCAATTTCCTCAGACCACCATCTCCAAACTTCTCCCCCCAATTTTTTTGTTTTGTTTAAGTCTAAAGTGTATGCGTATTCTAAGAAACTTTGATATAAGGAAACTTCTAGTACTCAAAAATTACTTCTATAAAACCAAAAACGTTATAGTGTTTCAAATTAGCCAGGCGCATTTTGCACCTGGCTTTCGACCACCTGTGACCAAGTGAGGATGCCTGTGTACCAGGATAGCGCCTGACGTCTCCACCATCTGGCGCTGCATGCCTAGGGATCATTGGATCGGGACTGTTTTCACATAGTAACGCCCCATTCTGTAGAATTCTATCCGTTCTATTTTACCTGCACAATAGGAGTGACTTTCTGGAACCAAATTTCTTTTTCTCTGCAGCCTGCGCAGGAACAGTCACCATGAAGAAAAACGGGTCGGAATAGGCCGATATATATGTGGACTGTCCCTGGATCAAGCGACTTTTCTTCTTTAAGCCCTCAAAGCTCTTAACCTAGCTCAAGGTTGTCCTCTGAAGTAGCCAGATGTTTAACTGAGAATCAATTGCAGTCAGCCCATCCTTTGAAAAACAAGAGCCATCTTGCCCCAAGGACATTCTGTTCTGGCGACTGTAACCTTGGTTTTATTTAACTATTTGGCACCTAGCTTATTTATCTGAGTTGCTAACACTACATGAGAGAAGGAAGAGAGAGTTCTTGGTGGAAGCTTTATTTCCTACCCATGATCATGAGATTACAGACTTGAGATTCCCACTAGGTCATGTAACCTGGACCAGAGCCAGCACGTTTTACCTTAATATACTTACTGCATAATCTTCTAAATGCTTACTCAGAAGAAAATCCCACGGTGTACAAATGGTGCATGTTCCCTAGAATAAGCATGTTAGCCTGGCAGCCTTAATTTGTGGGACAGGGATGGGAACTTCCCTTGCATAATCAGAAGTCATTTATTTTCTCGTAGCTTTAGCAAATGAAAGCCTGTCTCGGTGATAAGCTATTCAAAGCAAAGCCCGCTGCCAAGGTTGCTTCCAGGGATGGGGTCAGGAGAAAACGCTGCAAATCAACAAGGCCTCCGAGATTTAAGGTCAGACTCAAAGAAGAACCTTGTTGCTGAACTCATTCTCACCTCTCTTCCTTTATATTCCTTTTCCAAGCCACACAAAAGACCACAGCGGTAGATTTTGCTAGCTGCATCATCCGCGATCACACTCCCACATGGTTTAGGTGCATGAAATAACACAGACAATCAATATTTTTTTAAAAAAATAAGATAAAATTGCAGGACACGACTTACATAAACAACAGGACAGACAGGATAGCCAGAGTGGCAAATAATCAAGATGTCTCTTGTCATAGTCATTAAAACTTGCGTAACAGACCCAATAATACGTTTTTCTCCAAGCTTCGCATCACATCTTATGAAACTTCCTGTCATTTTCAAAAGGGTGGGAAGAGAAAATTTAACAATGAAAAAGGTAATCTGCTACTTGTTTGTTGGTTCCAACTGCTCCAATTGTCCCAGTAGGATGATCCGGACAAAGAAAAGAAATACATTGGGTTTGGGATTTTAAAACTACTTTTAAATTTAAGAATCTCAAGATGTGATCATCTCCAGAAAGTCTGGCTACCCACCTTTCCCATCAATAAGACAGACAGTTACCTAGTGACTGAAACACACCCATATGCCCCACCAGGATCAAATTCTGCCCTTCGCTGAGCACCTTTATAGTGTACTTATACCCATACACTTCCAGCTGCAGATCACAGAAGAGGCAAGAAGCCAATACAACATTGCTGTTCCCCCCCGCCACTTAGCCTTATTGCTTTTCTCCTACCAGAAGTGCCCATTAGAAGTATCAGCCATTAGGCATCCCAAGTCAGAAGCCACAATTTAACTCTATAACTACATTTCCTTTCGGAATAGCTTCGGAGGTCACTGAAGAAGCACACCAGACAATGGAGCACCACAAGACCCATTTCCGCACAGCGTTCGAAATTAGCAGGGAGCCAGGCGCTTTTTTGTGCCTAAGGATTCTCCGTTGGCGAGCAGCTCCCAAAGTCTGGGTGCCATTTTTTTGCGCCCGGCTGACACTCAAGGATTACTGAAATGTATGTGCTTCGAAACCTCAGGGTATATGTTAAGGATAGACAACATGTTAAGGAGTTTTAACAATACGGAGTAGAGTGTTTTGAAAACTGAAGTGTGGTACCAATATTTTATTGTCAACACCAGATTAAACATGTACAGTGGTACCTCGGGTTAAGTACTTAATTCGTTCTGGAGGTCTGTTCTTAACCTGAAACTGTTCTTAACCTGAAGCACCACTTTAGCTAATGGGGCCTCCTGCTGCCACCGGAGCATGATTTCTGTTCTCATCCTGAAGCAAAGTTCTTAACCTGAAGCACTATTTCTGGGTTAGCGGAGTCTGTAACCTGAAGCGTATGTAACCTGAAGCGTATGTAACCTGAGGTACCACTGTATTCTGATAAAAACGTGATATTAACAATGTGTCACTTATGTGAATTGCGTATTAGTTCATGCTTATCGAAATAATAAATAAAAAGTGTTGCCGACCCCCACAAATGGCGACTAGACATTCTGTTTGGGCGCCCACAACACAGGTCCCAGGAGCCATTTGGCTCCTAGCTTTTCTATCCCAATTTCTAACACTGCTTCCACATTGAACCAAGGGTGCTGCTTGCTCCACAGGGAAGTTGTGCTGGCTGTACACACAGATACAACCTGAGCAGGTTCCTCCACACAAAGGTTTCCCTTCGAGTGTTTATAAGCAGCAGAAGGCAGAGACATTTGAGAGGACTGTGCTCCTACAGTAACGTCCCAAGCCATTCGCAGAAACGACTAGCTCGCCTGCCTAGGTGCAACTTACAAAACAACAACGGTTTGCTTCCGTCAGGGGAACTCGCAACCAGCCTCCCTGCCCTATGTGCAAAAAGGCAGCAAAGGTACAAATTACCAGCTACATTCCAGAATATCGCCTTGTTATCTACAAGCTCAAAACAGTTCTTATGGGACGGAGCTTATCCTGCAAAACACACAATAGCTGAAGAAGTAAAGATAAATAAACGCCGCATAATTGATCTCCAGAGCTTCCAGTGAAACAGCAAAGTTCACTGCAGGTTCTGTGAACAAAAAGGCAGCGTTTTTCAAAACCTGGAAATCTGGAGAAAACGAAAGAAGCCTCAGAGGTGGAACACTAGAATGCGGCTCAGTGGCTAGCCTCCCCCTAAGATCGACTTTTCTGCATCTTAAATCTACTCCCACTTTACTTACCATCAGCTTTAAAAAAAGGAAAAGAAACGGACCACTGTTCTTCATTTTTCTCCAGCTGCCTTTTTAAATGTGGGATTATAGAGATGAGAATGCTCAAAGCTTTAAACCTGGTTTTGTTTAGGATTATCGTAGCTCTCCCTACTCCCAAAGGGTCTTGTTAAAAGGCCAAGCCAGGGCATGAAGATTGTAATAATGATGGTGATTAATCTGGAATCCTCAAACCATCCAACTTCTTATTTTTTTTGGGGGGGGGGGGAGACAGGAATTTCTAACCTGCCCTACTCCCAACGGGCTAGAATAGCTAGACCACTTAAAATAGCATATCTATTCAATATACTAGGGAGGCGGGTGGCGATGTGGGTTAAACCACAGAGCCTAGGACTTGCTGATCGAAAGGTCGGCGGTTCGAATCCCCGTGGTGGGGTGAGCTCCCGTCATTTGGTCCCAGCTCCTTCCCACCTAGCAGTTCGAAAGCACCTCCGGGTGCAAGTAGATAAATAGGAACCGCTTTCTAGCGGGAAGGTAAACGGCGTTTCCGTGTGCGGCGTTGGTGCTGGCTCGCCAGATGCAGCTTCGTCACGCTGGCCACGTGACCCGGAAGTGTCTTCGGACAGCGCCGGCTCCCGGCCTATAGAGTGAGATGAGCGCGCAACCCTAGAGTCGGTCACGACTGGCCCTGACGGGCAGGGGTACCTTTATTCAATATACTGCAGTATATTATATTCAGAATTAGCTCATACAACTATGCAGGCATAAGATGGTATAGCCACATGATTATATAGGTATATGTTACCTGAAAAGCATTCTTTTTAAGCCTACGTGCTGTGATGCAGCCCCAGAACTTGATTAAGTACGTTAGCTGCAATCTAGAAGCTGCAAAGGTGGTGGTAGTTTTCAAATTCATTGTGAAATATTTGCATTTGGTGCTTATAGCATCATCTTTGGGAGAAGACTTATTTTCCCCTCCGGGGTCAACACGTATCCTAAACATTGTGTGAATAGCCACACCTCCAAAACCATCCCAGTTAAAGATCTTCCAGGCTCAGCCTGGAGAACTTTTGCAATCACTCAGAATCCTAGTCTACATGCCCTCGTAGTATCAACTTGACACGTGAACGGCACAGCTATGAGTTCCAGTCACTTGATGGATTCGTCAATGAGGACCATTGATGTGGCCTCACTGATCTTGCAAAAGACCTCCACAGTTTGGCAGACTTGCATGCGTGCTGACTGAGTTCTGACAGAGTCTCACAGAAGAGATTTTATCTGGCCACTCTTCAGGAATCTTCCCAGCTGCCCACCATGGTATTACTAGCACCAAATTCTTCTCCAAGGCCAGAAGCTGAGAGAAGGGGTGAGTGGGAGAGCTTGGTGTTGACCAGCTCACTGGGGATAGGAATACCAAAGAAGGAGAGCAGAACCATACATGGTTTTTGTTGTGTTATATTTATATCCTGCTTTTTGGCCCAAAGGTCTGCAGGGTGGTGATTGGCAGGACCGAGGCAGAAAACACTAAGATCATGGGGTAAAGTTTAGAAATTAGAGGAGCAGCTTTAACAATGCACAAACAAGAGAAACCACGAAAGCTCTCTTCTCAAAGGTGCAGGCTACAGGCAGGAGTTAAAAACAAGGAGCAGCACTCCTCTCAAGAAAGGGTATTGACTTTTTGGGTGGGTCTGCCTGCTGGTTCAGAGTGGCAGTTCTTGCCTGATTGAGTTTGGTCCTCAAAAAAAGTCCTGGCAGTGTTCGAAACTCCCACTGTTCTAGGCGCATTTTGCGACAGGGAATTCCATCAGCACGAGCCATTTCTGAGTTCTGGGGGCAGTACTGCGCCTAAGATTTCCGATTAAAACTGCAGAGTGGAAGGAAAGGGAGAACTTTTTCTGCCTCCTCACTTCCAGCAACCCTCCAAGGCTGGAGAAGAGACCACCTTAAGAATATTACGGGGGTGGGAAGGGGAAAGACCAGGCCATGTGAAAAATGAACATAATATTTTAGCTGCAGTTCATTCATTTTCAGCTTTGTATTCTTGCTATTAAAAAGTGTGCCTCGAAATTCCGTTGTTGCGCCCACAACCTCGATTTAAGGTGCCATTTAGCTCCTAGATTTCAAATCTCAGTTTCTAACACTGCAGGTCAGATACAGTAATTGGAGTCTTTCATTTCCTATAGGAAATAGCTAAAGGTAGAATAAAAAGGTAAAGGGACCCCTGACCATTAGGTCCAGTCGTGACCGACTCTGGGGTTGCGGCGCTCATCTCGCTTTATTGGCGAGTCATGACTAAGCCGCTTCTGGCAAACCAGAGCAGCACACGAAAACGCCGTTTACCTTCCCGCAGGAGCGGTATCTATTTATCTACTTGCACTTTGACATGCTTTTGAACTGCTAGGTGGGCAGGAGCAGGGACCGAGCAACGGGAGCTCACCCTGTCGCAGGGATTCAAACCGCAACCTTCTGATCGGCAAGTCCTAGGCTCTTTGATTTAACCCACAGCGCTACCCACGTCCCCAAAGGTAGAATAACTATAGTTTAAAAGCTACTCACAAGTAGACTGGGCATGTTTATTATCTTCACTGACATGTGAGCAATCGCGCCACCAAAAGAGATCATCCCCCGCCCCCTGACTCACTGTAAAACTCAAAACAGATTTAAGTATTTTCCCCCCATGACCAAAGTAATTTCCATGTACACACCCTTAACACTCTTGAATTACAGAGAACGGCCAGGCATCTGCTTTCTTCCACAATTCCAGATGTTTAAGCAGATTTGTTACAAACAAACAAAAAAGGAACTGGGAGTTCTTTTTCAGAAGTGTTTGGCACGCCATAGTTCCAGCCGGAACTCTAGCTTAAAGTTGCTCTTGGGGACAGGATGAAAATGGACAGACTGTGATGAACAGATTCTTTGGTGGTGGTGGTGGGGAATCAAAGCAGCTCTTCCCAGAAAAAAATGACAACCCTGCTATCAGTTAACTTTCTGCAGGCCTGCTAGCTGTTAAAAGCAGAGGAGCCCTGATGTTAAAGAAGCTGATAACTCTGCCAGATCAAGGAATGCATCCAGCTAGGCCCCATTGATTTTAAATGCAGTCCGTCAGGCTAGACTGCAACCTACAAACATTGCTTGCACAGAGGAATCCTAGGAAGTAGGTTCCACTAAATTCAATGGGATTTACTCACAAGTAATTGGGTATAGGGTTGCACCCTTTGCTATCTCTCTGCACACTCTAGTGCTGCTTGGGTAGATGATTGCTAATGATTTACTGCTAGTTAACTTCTGCAACTACCACGGCTAACATTTTACCCGCCCCCAGTGGGGAAAATGCAGTAAAATGTACGTTGCTACCCTTAAGATTCATCTGCAGTTATGGGCACCCTGGTTAATTTCTGCTGAAATGACAGTTGCAAGATTTGGAGTTGGCTATAATAGTCTCCATCTCCATTCACCCTTATATGCTACATGACAGTCTGCACAAGGAAACTTATCCTGGACAACGTTTTAAGAGAAGAAATAAGGTGAGATTTTAAAAATGAGAAAATATAGCTGAAAGAAAAGGAAAGTTGTCACCAGGAAAGTTACTGGAAGAATAACTCAGTGGAGAGAGGACGAGTAAAGTATGACCACAATTTTATTCAGGTAAAAACCTATTTTGGTGCTAGAACATTATATAAGCAACTACCGATCCACCCAAAATAATTGTCGTCACCAAGAGTTTTTCCAGAGAAAACAGCATGAAATGTCTGTACATAACACAACCTTACATCAGTTGTTCCAAAATGCAATTGGGGATTATCTATCTATCTATCTGTTCCTTGTTTGTTCTGTTTACTAACATCACACACTCAAAACAAAAGCTCTCTGTACAAAAACAGATTAATAGCACCAATTAACCCCTGGGTCTGGAGAAACACAGGAGAGCAGACCTGGGCAAAAACATGCCCAGTGATGCTTCCCTCAATTCCTATTTAGGTGCAAAGAAAGGGGGTGGGGGCTTGTTCCGTGCCCCCCCAACTCAGGCCTTGCTCACCTATATCAAGCACTCACACCTTGCCAATCGCCACTCAGCTCTGCCAGATTACAAGACAGCTTGCAAAAGTCTGCAAATGGAGGAGACCAGGCGAACTGTTGTGGCATCACTCATTGCAGCAACATCCTAGCAAGCATCAAAACACGGACCCTTGTTTACTGCAGTTAGTGGCATTATTGGCATCTTATATGGAGCTGTATTCCGCCTTCCGAATAGTGCTGCCCCCCCCTCCAACCAAACTCCATTGATATATGGCATACGTGTATTATTAATAATAATAATAATAAAAATAATAAAAATAATAAAAATATCAAGGGCTTTAGAATAAATGTCAGGCAGGCTTTTGTTTCTTGCAACTCTAACAGGACAGGATGCAATAGGGAGCGGGGGAAGAGAGACCTCCCACACCCTCAAAGAACTTTGCACCGGAAAACCTCCTCCTTGGAAATGCACACACACACACACCAAAAAAATATTAGAGAGAAACACACTCAACCTGCCGGGTTGTCTTTCCTTCTGCACCGCTTGACGGGGAAGAGGTGGCCAAGGCGATGGCGGGCCCTCGCTCCGCGCCCACCCACCCCGCTTTTGAAAATAAAAATAAAAATGAAATTGATTACGATCTGGGGGGTGGCGGGAGCAAAGGGCAGCCGCGGCGCCTGCTCTCCTTATTCTCCCAAGCGGCCCTCGCAGCTCGGCGCCGGTCGTCCTCCTCCGGCCCGAGCCGGTTCGCCCCGGTGCTGCACGCGATTCCCCTCCCCGGCCGGCAGCATCGTCCTCGGGGGGCTGCGCGGGCGCGGGAACAAAGGACCGGCGGCGGCGGCAGCGGCAGCAGCCGGCGCTCGCAGGCTGGAATAAGCCGGTCTCGGGGAAGCAGGCTCATTGCGAAGCCCCCATGGAGGACAACGGCGCGCCGCTCCCGAGCCGGGCTGTGCGTCGGGGGCGCGCCGATGGGCGGCGCGCGTGTGTGTGTGTGCGCGCGCGGCGGCGCCTTTGCAAGCTCGGCAGTGGCGGCCAGGCGTGCCAACTTGGCCCCGCGATCGTGGGTGCCCATGGGGAATTTTGTGGGTGCTCGGGCATACAGGGAGTTGCCACCAATGGCAGCGGGCGCCATGCAGCGTGCACGGCCCTGGCAGCAAAAGTTGGTGGGTGCCCGGCCCCTTCATGGGGAATTTTGTGGGTTTTTGGGCACCCAGGGAGCTGGCACCTAAAGCACTTATGGCAGGCTGCTTGCAAGCGCCGGAGGTGGCGGGCGAAAGGGACAGAAGCTTGCACCGTTTGCAGGCGCCGTCGAGCAAACGGGGGCCGTCCGAGACCTGTTTTCCCCCGTTGCCCGGCCTTGGAAAAAGCTGCAGTCCAGGAGGCTTCTGGGGAGAAGCGAGGAGCGCGCCGCAAAGAAGGGGGCGAATATCGCAGCCATGGGTCACGCCGGGGCAGCCCTGCGCAACGCTTCCTGCGGAGAAACGAAAGGGGGAGAGGAGAAAAACAACAACCCAGGTTGCACTCCGGTTCTCCCTCCGTCCCGTCCCCCCACATCAATCTGGATCAAGGATCTGCCCCCTCCCGTCTCCCAGCACCGATCCGACGCGATCCACTCAGGCCACCCCCGCCCCAAGCACGCGCCGGTCACACACTTTGCGCACAGCCCTCGGAAGTTTCCCGTCGGTGGCGGCGCCGCTGCTTTGCCTCGCCGGGTCTCCAGACTCAGACTGGTTTCCCCGGGCAGGATGGGCAAGTGCACCTTGCAAGATGCGGCGAGGCGGGAACTAGCAGCCTGGGGCCCATTGCGGCGAGCGGAACTCCCTCTCCACGCCGACTGCTGGTTTTGCAGAAGCGGCTACATAGGCACACCGCGCCGGAGCGTGCATGTCTGCTTGCGTAACAGTTTCTTGAGAGGGGAGGAATCATGCCCCTTTCCAGAAGTGTGTGTGCAAAGAGTCCCCCCTCCACCAACCCTTTATAAAACCAAAGTTACGTTAGGGACGCGCCCCTTGGCTTGCAATCCAGCCAGGAGCTCCGATGGCTCTGGATTCATAACTCCGAAATTTGGAATCCCCTCCAAAACTGCCAAAGCAAGCAACCATGCTCCTGAGCAGATCTTGCCCGCTGGATGGTTCTGTTGCTCCAAAGCGAGTGTCATGTACACTAGATAGTGTGGGTCATGCATTCCTTCAGGACAGTGCCTCCACCCAGGGCCATGAGGTAAGGCGACTGTCTCAGATGACAGGATAGGGGGAGGGGCAGCAGATCCCAATGTTGATCTTTCTCTCTTCCTATGCCTCACTCACCCCTTCTTCCCTGGCCAGGGCAGGAGGCACCATTTTGGGGTTCACTTCAGAGGCCAAAACTTTTTGGGTGGGCCCCGATGATTTCTTACGGAGATATTAAAATGTTTCCATTTAAATGTCAAAAGAAGCCTTCCAAGGCCACTGTGAATTTTGCAGGCCAACCACCCCTGAAATCTCCTCACCTTCTTGTAGGCCAGGTGATGGAGACCCCCATGGCTCTCTAGGGATTGCTGAGCTCAAATTCCCACAAGCTCCAACTGTGGTGGCCAATGATGATGGGAACTGGAGTCCAGCAGGGCCACTGGTCCCCCGCTCCTGCCACAGGCTCTTCGCTTTCCCTAGCACTTACATTTGAAGGAGCCAAGGTGTGGCCTCACACCTGTCTAGGCTAAATTTGGAAACCAAGATGAGGAGGAGGGGAACTAGCAGCCTTATACAGGCTGCCTTGGTATTATGATATGGCTAGCTACAGTTTAGCCTGTCCCCAGCTCCCCGTCTGCCTGTACTGCCTACGATCACAGAAGCAGCTGTCCACAGTTTAGCAGACTAATGCTTATCACGCCTGTAGTACTGTGAGCAAGTTACGGGTATGGACAGGAAGTTCAACTGACTGGCAAGGGAACAGTGCAAGTCAATCACACTTCCTGTTTGTCAGATGTCATGAAGAGACAGAGGGTGCTTACTGGAAATATGCTGTTAAGGTGAAGGTGACTTTACACATTTTTAGCCTCTTTCTCCACTCACAATGGGTAATACTGAAATCAACCTGTCAACCTAGCAGTTCAAAAGCACGCCAAAAAGTGCTAGTAGATAAATATGTGGCTCCCTCGGCCTGTAAAGCGAGATGAGCGCCACAACCCCAGAGTCGTCTGTGACTGGACTTAACTCTCAGGGGTCCTTTACCTTTTAGGGTGCGACAGCACTGATATAACCTGTTGCTTTTCTTTCAGAGACCTTAACACTTTGCCCCTTTTGTAAAAACCCTGCCGCCATTTTTTCTGGTGCCACCACTGCTAGGCGGCCCAAGGGAAGGTCTTGAATTATCATGACTGGGGGGCACCCAACAGGATTGGTGCTTTCAACCCCTGTCCTGCCTTCAGATAGGGGGAAAAGGAGCACACTCCCTTAGCAGATACACATTACAGTCGCGACAAGTACAGTCGCAATTGTACCCCATAACAGTAGGGAAGTGGATATGTGTGTTTATTTAGTTTTGTGCACATCACAAGGAGGTGCTACACATAGCAACAGGTCCCTACAGAATGCTTTTAACGGTGTGCCTGTAGCAACATCAAATGTGCAGCTGTAAAGCACACAATGCAGATTCCACATATGAACTACATACAAACCTAACTTTTCAACAAACATCCCCAAACCTTAACTGCTGAAAAAGCAGCAGCAATTCTAGGTACTGTATAGAACTTTGTGATGTATCTTCCAGACTCAAAGGAAATATTTGAACCACTCTTCAAGATGCAAAGATCATTTGCATGTAAGAACTTCACATCTCTTCAGTGAAAGCTGAGTGCTTCCTCGTTTTCTGGGATATGATATCTTCATTTTTAACTCTGTTGCAATATACAATGCAAATAAGAAGGGAAATAACACAGGCAGAATTAAATGAAATTAGGAAAGTCTCAAAAACAGGATTACATTCACCTGGGAGAACAATCAGACCTGATGTAACAACTAAATCAACAGAGTTGTTAATTAATGGCTGCAAACCGATAACAACTGAAACTATAAACAAATGCTTGGACACCGTAATTGCAAGTTTTCACAATGCAATAATAATATTACATCTTATCCAAACTCTCTTATATGACAAAAAGAGGTCCACTGCAAATGGTTGCAGTGGCATTTGCTGCCGTATAAACCAAGTATTTCCCAGCGATTGCAACAGGTATGCTTTTGTACGTGTATACGAGAAATAAACTTAATAAGCAGCTTGTGGTGTTTAGGCTACAACACTCCTAAACCTGAAAGGCTGTAGAAGCCTTCTTGATTTACACCATCATTAAAAGAAGTACATGGCTGAAACCTGTCCTGGAGGAAACCGCGCCCAACCACGATGCTTTGAAAAGGTATTTTCACCCAGACTCAGAAAATAACTTGGTTCATTCCAAACCAAAGGGAACCCTGTTGCAGTCCAAGGGAGCTTCCAAACCCCAGCAGCAAGGAAGGGGTGTCCCTCTCACCCTCCACTCACTGGCATATCCCAAAGCCTAAAAGGGAGCAGGTGGCGCTGTGGTCTAAACCACTGAGTCTCTTGGGCTTGCCAATCAGAAGGTCAGCGGTTCGAATCCGTGCAACAGGGTGAGCTACCGTTGCTCTGTCCCAGCTCCTGCCAACCTAGCAGTTCAAAAGCACACCAGTGCGAGTAGATAAATAGGTACCGCTGTGGCAGGAAGGTAAAGGGTGTTTCTGTGCACTCTGGTTTCCGTCACGGAAGCGGTTTAGTCATGCTGGCCATGCTGACCTGGAAAAGCTGTCTGCGGACAAACACCGGCTCCCTCGGCCCAAAAAGCGAGATGAGCGCTGCACCCCTTAGTCTGAACTTGACTTAACCATCCAAGGGTCCTTTACCTTTATCCTGAAGCCTCTAAGCCAGGTGTGGGAACAGGGAGAACCCTCCCATTGCCACCACTGCAGCACAGAAAGCAAGGTAAACAGATGGGAGGGTGGAAGCTGACTTTATCCAGCTTGATCCAAGCCAAAGATCCCTCAGGGCAATAAAGTTCACCTTGCACCTGAAGTGAGCATTGTGAAGATTTTTGTTTCCCAGGGCATTTCATTTGGCAGTGTGTTCCAACACACACACACACAAACACACCAAACTATGCAAAGTGAATTTAGGGATCCATCCTTTCTTTGGTTAGTAGTTGAGCCACCGAAATGAAAAACAGATTTTACACTCAACAGTATTAACAGCATGTATGACAGGGGTCAGCAAACTTTTTCAGCAGGGGACCAGTCCACTGTCCCTCAGACCTTGTGGGGGGCTGGACTTTATGGGTGGGGATGAACAAATTCCTATGCCCCACAAATAACTCAGAGATGCATTTTAAATAAAAGCACACATTCTACTCATGTAAAAACACCAGGCAGGCCCCACAAATAACCCAGAGATGCATTTTAAATAAAATGGCACAATCTGCTCATGTAAAAACACGCTGATTCCCGGACCGTCTGTGGGCCAGATTTAGAAGGCGATTGGGCCAGATCCGGCCCCCGGGCCTTAGTTTGCCTACCCATGGTGTACGATTTCAGGGAAACCTTTACCTTGCCAATACTGAAAGGGAAATGTCCAGGGTAGGGGAGAGGAGATGGAGGAAGAGGGCTGAGAAGGGAGCAGGGGAAGCCCCAGAACTCAAGTGCCACTCAGTTATTCCCATCATCCTGTTCCCTTGACTCCAAACTGAGTCCCCATGACTAACAGCCTTTGTACAGATGAGCCAGCCGCTCCATGAGTAAGGATCTCATGAGCACTGACAAGGAAGGAAGGAGCTCCATGTTCCTCTCCTGGCAGACCCAAATATAGCATGCCAGAAAGAAAGAAGGTGGGAATCATCCCTTTCCCTCCAACCAAGTTCAGAAGGGACCAGAGCTTACTCTGCCTCAGGGGGGGTCACTAAATCTAGTGCCCCAGAATAGGAGCTTTCGTTATTTTTTAAAGGTAGTCTATATGTAGTTCTAGGGGCGCGGGTGGCGCTGTGGGTTAAACCACAGAGCCTAGGACTTGCCGATCAGAAGGTTGGCGGTACGAATCCCTGCGACGGGGTGAGCTCCCGTTGCTCTGTCCCTGCTCCTGCCAACCTAGCAGTTTGAAAGCACGTCAAAGTGCAAGTAGATAAATAGGTACCACTCCAGCGGGAAGGTAAACGGCGTTTCCGTGCGCTGCTCTGGTTCGCTGGCCACATGACCCGGAAACTGTATACCGGCTCCCTCGGCCAATAAAGCGAGATGAGTGGCACAACCCCAGAGTCGGTCATGACTGGACCTAATGGTCAGGGGTCCCTTTACCTTTAATTTATATGTAGTTCTCCTAGAAATATGGTTATTATGGAACAGAAGGTGCAGGTACCTCCTAAGAGATTTCTGTGAAATGTGTGTGAATGTTGTGTGACTACTATGAATATTTTTTCTGGTACTGAGGAATGTTCCCTGCTGTTTTAAGCAGCAGCAGCAGCATCTGTCTGTATGTGTTGTGTGTGTCCACAATTAGGACCGGCAGGACATAGATGACTTCCCATAAGATTGTTGGTCTTTAAAATATAAAGTGGTATATAAATGAAATAATAATAATAAACCCCACTGTAAAAAAAAAGGCGCCTAGACACTCCATTGTGGTGACCATAAGTTTAAGGTGCCATTTGGCGATTAGGTTATACAATGGTACCTCGGGTTAAGAACTTAATTCGTTCTGGAAGTCCGTTCTTAACCTGAAACTGTTCTTAACCTGAGGTACCACTTTAGCTAATGGGGCCTCCCGCTGCCGCCGCACTACTGCCGCACGATTTCTGTTCTCATCCTGAAGCAAAGTTCTTAACCTGAGGTAATATTTCTGGGTTAGTGGAGTCTGTAACCTGAAGCGTATGTAACCTGAAGCGTATGTAACCCGAGGTACCACTGTATCTCCATGGCAAGGTCTAAGCATGACCTGCTAGCTCACCTTTGGGCAAGGTAGACTACACTGTAAAGCAGTGGTGGCCAAACTCAGCCCTCCAGATGTTTTGGGACTACAACTCCCATCATCCCTAGCTAACAGAAGCAGTGGTCAGGGATGATGGGAATTGTAGTCCCAAAATACGATTTCTGTTCTCATCCTGAAGCAAAGTTCTTAACCCAAGGTACTATTTCTGGGTTAGCAGAGTCTGTAACCTGAAGCATCTGTAACCCGAGGTACCGCTGTATATCTGAATTTCTAACACTGCGGTCTTGAATCAGCACGGAAAGTGTTTTGCATAAACTAATTCCCAGCCGTTTTGTGGTGAGCAGGTGGGAATAGGCCAATGGTCACACTGGTACAAAATATCTAAAGGGCTGTCGCCTGGAGCAAGATTATTTTCTCCTACTCCGGAGGCTAGGACCAAACCAATAGATTCAAGTTACAAGAAAGGAGATTCCGACTTAACCTCAGGAAGAACTTTGTGATGGTAAGAGCTATTCAAGAGGGAACGGACTTCCTTGGGAGGTTGCGAGCTCTCCTTCCTTGGAGGTTTTTAAGCAGAGGTTGGATGGCCATCTGCCATGGATGCTTGAGTCAAGATTCCTGCATTGCAGGGGGTTGGACTAGATGACCCCGAGGGTTCCTTCCAGCGATACAATCCTATGACAAGTGCATCAGTTATATTTCTATGCTGAATCTTCGGCTGTCATGACAGAAGCACATGGAAGAGGTGAACCACCATTGATCTCTTAGATTGTTGCCATGAGACATCTGAAAATGCATCAAGCGTAAGTTCATTCATCAACGATAACAGTTTTGTTGCTGCCTCCTTTTCTACCTTTTCTGTTGTATCCAATGAAATGAGGACTTTCTAAGCCCTTTCATAGCTGGCAAATGACTTCACATTTGCATTCCTGGAAAATGAGGCAAGACCAACTAAAATGTTTTCACAGTAAGATATCCAGTTAGTTTGCAAGAGCTGCCACAGAGATGGACTGGAATGTGTTTTTAGACGGCAGCCCAACGTTTAGTTATACATTTGTACATCTAGAGTTTTTCTCCCCGTTTTAAGCAATCTCAACTGTCTTGATGTTTTTTTGACCACAGTTTCTTGAAGGACAAATGTGATCCAAGAAGAAAAACCATACCTTCAGTACATCTTTGTGACTGCTCTCAAGTGACTTTTCTGTTAATATCCCTGAATGAATAACTTCCGTATCTGCAGCACAGATCACCTTAGTCCCAAGTAGGGTGGAAAAGCTGTCATCTTGCCTGCTGTCAGCTATGTCTAAAAAATCCAATTATTGTTTGAAAGGCATTCTTACAACTTGAAAAAGACAGTTGGCGAATTGCACCAAAAAATCATGAACTTAGGGGATATATATATATATATCTCCATGACATTTCTTTTGTCTTATTTCAGATCTTTTGATTGACAACTGTTTCACCACCTAACACCTAACAATGTCAATCTCATTCAGCTGAACACAACACAAGGGAAAGAAGGGGGGGGGGCAAAACATGACTGACAGAGTTCCATGGCTTTGGAAGAAAACATTCATCTACAGTCACACAATTTACAATCATTGACGACGTGCCTGACTTTCCAGGAGCCTTAAAGAATGTGGATTGGTCATGTTTGTTGATCAAGCCATCAATGTAACAGAAAGCAAGCAATGGTGTGTCAGAAGATAACTGAGCATTTGTGACAGAGCCTTTCCTGCAACGCATAGGATTCTCTCCATTTGGTGTCTCTCCAACTGCTTTCTACAAGACTCCTTGCCGCTGCAGCCACCTCCCCCCAACCGTTTTTCATCACCTTCCATCCTTCAAAGCAAAAGCTGACAACTTCTATCCTATTGTGGGCTTTAAAACTGCTATCTATTGCACACTCGGGCCTAAACCTGTGTCTGTGCTATAACATTTCAAACTATGAGAAGGTGGGGGCGCTAGCCTATGTGAATTCACCTCCATATTAAAATTCTGTACACAGGACACTGGGGACGCGGGTGGCGCTGTGGGTCAAACCACAGAGCCTAGGACTTGCCGATCAGAAGGTCGGCGGTTCGAATCCCCATGACGGGGTGAGTTCCCATCACTCGGTCCCAGCTCCTGCCAACCTAGCAGTTCGAAAACACATCAAAGTGCAAGTAGATAAATAGGTACCGCTCTGGTGGGAAGGTAAACGGCGTTTCCGTGCGCTGCTGTGGTTCGCCAGAAGGGGCTTTGTCATGCTGGCCACATGACCCGGAAGCTGTACGTCGGCTCCCTCGGCCAATAAAGTGAGATGAGCGCCACAACCCCAGAGTCGGTCAGGACTGGACCTAATGGTCAGGGGTCCTTTACCTTTACCTTACACAGGACACTAGTGCCATGTTCACGCATTTGCCCCAAAATGCAGTTTAAAAGTGCGCATGGGGCCAAGAGCACACACACAAGCCCGACCCCCATGTACATCCACCCCCCATAGGCATCAGGCTCAACCTTCTCATGTTGCGCAGGGAGAGTCTAGGGACTGAGTAGACAGAAACTTCACACACACATACAGAGAGAGAGAGAGAGATGCTCAGGTGAACATCTCAACAGGGCTACAATGTCAGGGTGAAGGGCTCTAGCCCAGCTTTCTCCCTAAATGCTAAATTTTCTATGTTTTGTAGGGAGTGCATTCTATCATGTCATCCCTTACTTGAAGACTGAAGTACCGTATTTTTCGCTCCATAAGACGCACTTTTTTCTTTCTAAAAAGTAAGGGGAAATGTCTGTGCGTCTTATGGAGTGAATGCGTGGTTCCTGGAGCCGAATTGCCCAGGGCGAAAAGCAGATCATGCTTTTTTAAAAAATAATAAAAAAAGAGGGAAGTGGGTGTTGAAACAAAGCTGCTGATCGGCCAGCGATTGGGAGGGAGATAAGGGACGCTAGCAATAAAGGAGGCTGCCTGGGAGCAGGGAGGTAAAGACAGCGAACTTGCAAGGAGAGGAGGCAGGAAGACTAAAGCAATGAGGAGAGAAATTTGAAGAAAAGGAGGAGCAAAAAATTGCTCCAGTTAAGGAAAAGACACTATGGCAAACAAGAGGGAAGGGAGTGTTGAAAGGAAGCAGCTGATCGGCAAGCGATCAGGAAGAGAGATAAGGGAAGCCACAATGGCACAAAAACATGGTTACAAAGCACGGATCCACATGGATCCTCAGGATTTTTGCACTGGGCTACCGCAAACTCACTGTCAAATCACATGTCTGTGGCCACAGCATGAACCACATTATCATACATCCACCGTTTCGTTCAGAATATTTTTTTCTTGTTTTCCTCCTCTAAAAACTAAGTGCGCCCTATGGTCAGGTGCGTCTTATGGAGTGAAAAATACAGTAGTTATGTAGTTAAGAATCACAAAGTTCTTTGGAAGAAATTCCAAGTTACAGTCATATGCCGAGGTCACCCAGAAGGAACAGGCAATCTTGGTTCATACTTTGTCTGGGGCACCTTGGGTGCTGTTCGTCATTGCAGTTGCATCCTTTGTTTTCCTTCTTTGGGGCGTGAGGCTGAAGTTGTCAGGATTCATATCTGTTTAGCCAACAAGGATGTAAGTAGACTGGTTCTTATGTAATGGCTCCGAGTCCACATTTGTCGCGCTGAGAGTGTTAGTGAATATTGTAATCCCTCTCAGCCTACTTGCAGCATCAGCATTCTGTGTTTCTTTCAGGGTCAACTGGATTCCACGGAAGGTTTGGGAAGTTCTTACATGTTCTTTAGGTTGTAAAAGAGGCTTGTGGAATTCACCTTCAATTCCTGGGTGAGAGTCCTCCGTTTTCAGCATGTTGTTGCAACGTTTTGCTCGTCATCTTGCATTACGTTAGCTAAATGCACATTTAAAATGCCCGGGGGGTGGGGTGGAGCTGAAATCTAGTCTGGTCTTTGTTCCAAGGGCAGAGAAGATGCAGAAGAGACCCAGGCAGAAGATGAAGCCAACATCAATATTATACCTTATGATCTGAGCAAGACACCTTATCCAGGAAGTCCCCCTCCCCACCAAAAAACCCACTACTAGACTTTCTTTTACCATACTTTTCCATGTATAAGACTATGTTTTTAAAATAATGTTCAAAATCTGGGCTCGTCTTATACATGGATAGTATCTCCCCCTCCCCCATTTTCTTAAATCGGGGTCCCCAAAAATAGGGGGCGTCTTATACATGGGGGCGTCTTATAGACGGAAAAATACGGTATATTAGGGCACATTTTGTTGCTATCATCATAAGGATTTATAAAAATATCCAATGTGCACTAATGCTGTACAAACGTAACATCTTTTTTTAAAATAAATCCCAGTCCATATGATTGACAATCTAAAAGAAGAAGGAAGTTAAGAAAGAAAAAAAAGGAGAATTGTACTAGGGAGAATGAAAAGAAAAGAGAGAAGAGTTAATATATTTTAGGAGTAGGGAGGTTTTTTTTTAATAGAACATCAAGAAAGAAATGCAACAGAGAGAATATGCATTTTTAATAATTTCTTAAAGCAAGGCAAAAATAAAAGAGGCGGCAAGGTGAATATCAGAGGGAGAGGCAGGGAGATTTCCACACAAGAGAGAAGGCAGGGAGACAGAAACAGCCCAAGATAGTGGTGATTTAATAAGATTAGGGCCTGATGAACAGATATAGATAAGAAGAAGCAAGAATATAAAGAGCCTTAAAAGGTTAAAATAAGAAGTTTAAACTTGATACGAAACAATAGGGAGACAGCTAAGGAAACATACAAACATCAGAGAACATGAGTAGAAAAGTTGTGATCCTATTGTTTATTCATATCGCGTCATCTATGTACATGATGCAGTACAGAGAACGGGTTTGATGGATTCCTACGCAAAGGAGCTTACAATCCAAAATAGATGCAGGGAACCAGAAAGGAACAGAGGAAACTAAGACAGACATAACAGATTTAAGCCAAAAGTTAGGAAGACTGGTGAGCAAAACTTTGAAATAATTTCCCTCTTTTGTTTGTTTGTTTCAGCCACGTACCATATAATGTATAAACGTGTGGCCAGTGCTTTTTTTCTGGCGGGACACAGGGGTACGCATACCCCTAAACATTTTGTGAATCTTTGTACTTTTGTCCATTTATTGTATTTATTTTCCCCGATTTGAACTATAAAATGGTGATTTTCTTGGGTCAAAATGAGAGTGCCTCTAAATTTCTTTTTTTAAGGGGAAAAACCACTGTGTGTGGCACTTTGCGGGGGTCCATTTTGGGCAAATTCCAGTAGAATTGGGTCAGGACGCATTTCCACACAAAACAATACCGATGTTGATGATACATAAATCAAAAGTACTTCATGGGAATGATGGACGGAGTATTCACAAGCTTGTTTTTACAAACATTTATAAAGGGCTGTTTGCGCTGAGACTTTCAGAGCACTGCACAATTTAAAAGCACAAACATTATTTTAAAAACAGCAGTACAACCAAAAACCGACAGAAAAACCCCAGCGTAAAACCCCGCCAATCTGAGAATTTGCACTAAAACGCTTCGGCAAATTAAAAGCAAACAGAGAGTTGCCACCAGGCGAGCCAACCTGGAGAAGGCATTCAACTACTGGGGTCCCATTGCAGAGAAGGCCCTGTCCAAACTGCCACTCACCTCACATCAGAAGAGAAGGGGACATGGAGGAGACACCCTGGGCAGTAGTCTAAGGCTCACATCTCTCGGATAAGTGTACAAATACTCATCTGATGCAACAACTGTAAAAACGTGTGCATTGTGGGAAGAACATGAATATGTCACGAGCTCTTGCTCTGCTAAGAGGCATGTCTTACAAACCCCTCAGTGGTGCTGAAGTCCAAGTACATTTTTCTACAAGGCCTCCTGGAAATGGCCAAAGGTCACCGTTCAGAGAAGCCAGAGAGGGGAGTTAAGAGGTCAACCTCGTAAAGTTATAGAATTGCTACCAACTGAAAACCTTGGTTGCAATCGCACACTCTCGAAGGAAGACTAAACCAATTGTTCCCAGGTATTTGCTTATATGTACCGTATTTTTTGCTCTATAAGACGCACCAGACCACATGACGCACCTAGTTTTTGGAGGAGGAAAACAAGAAAAAAAATATTCTGAATCTCAGAAGCCAGAACAGCAAGAGGGATCGCTGCACAGTGAAAGCAGCAATCCCTCTTGCTGTTCTGGCTTCTGGGATAGCTGCGCAGTCTGCATTCGCTCCATAAGACGCACACACATTTCCCCTTACTTTTTAGGAGGGAAAAAGTGAGTCTTATAGAGCAAAAAATACGGTAAGACTTTTTCTGAGCGAAGTACGTTGGGTCAGAGGAATTCTCTCCTGCTCACCGCAGTGGTTACTATTAATCCTAAAAGCGGCTGGCTTTGCACAAACTGCTGATTCAAGTAATTCCCAGAAAAGGGGGGGGGGATTTCAAAAGGTATATTAAGGAAATCTGATTCCTATGTATCTCCAGGTGTAATCTGAGCAACTACTAAAAGGGAGTTTCCTTCCTTGTTCTTCTCGTGTGCCAAGAACTTAAATGCAAAGTAGAAATTGAGTCTTTCGCTATTCAGAGCCGTTTATTTAAGGACATCCCACTAGATAAACAATCAATAGTAAATCTCTTTCCACACTCAACTGGTTTTGAAACAAAAACACCTTGTGTTGTGGGGCGGAAGGCCGATGCATTACATAAACACCGCAGAGAGTTTGCTTTTTAAAAGCATCTCAGTTGTTTGTGGGTTCTACGGGTGGAGAGGCAGTTTGCAAGCCGCGGCCTATTGTGGAGATCTTGTGGGTTTCTGCATACCACCAATTTATTTTGGGGTGGGGGCAGTGGATAAAACGGGACAATGCCATTATGTGAAATACATGTAGGAAAATAAAATAATCTGATGTGTAAGTGGGTTGCTGAACCTAACTAGTCCCCTGCGTGGAGACCGCCGTTGTGCATAGCAATTAAAGAAAGGCTCCATGTGGCAGCCACACTGTGTGTGCCTCAGGCCATAGAAAGCTTTCCCCCAATGAGATATGCACAGAATTAAAACAGAAATGTATTTTTGAGGGAGGGCGGTGGTTGCTTTTGATGTGGGTAAATCACCTGACTCAGAAGAAAACACAAAATGGCTAGATCAGGGAGTCAGCAGTGCTATCACCGTATACCAATATTTAGCTATACTGTGGTACCTTGGTTCTCAAACGCCTTGGTACTCAAATGCTTTGGTTCTCAAACGTCTTAAAACCCGGAAGTAAGTGTTCTGGTTTTTGAACGTTTTCCGGAAGCCGAACGTCCAATGCGGCTGTCAGCTATTGTTTCCAGAGCACCTGCACCAATCAGAAGCTGCACCTTGGTTTTTGAACATTCTGAAAGTCAAACGGACTTCCGGAACGGATTAAGTTTTACACTTTTGTTTTTGAGGCTTTTTCTGTTAATTTGTTTTTGTGACTGTGTGGAACCCAGTTCAGCTACTGATTGATTGATTGATTATGTGACTGCGGAAATGGATAAAAGCCCCTCATCCAAACAATGACTATCATCAGTGCAGGGAAGAAAAAAAATTAATTTTTATTTTTATCATCTACAATACTGTCTTATTTATTTTATAGTACAGTGGTACCTCGGGTTAAGAACTGGAGGTCTGTTCTTAACCTGAAACTGTTCTTAACCTGAGGTACCATTTTAGCTAATGGGGCCTCCTGCTGCCGCTGCACCGCCGCTGGACAATTTCTGTTTTCATCCTGAAGCAAAGTTCTTAACCCGAGGTAATATTTCTGGGTTAGCAGAGTCTGTAACCTGAAGCGTATGTATCCTGAAGCGTATGTAACCCAAGGTAGAATCATAGAGTGGGAAGAGACCACAAGGGCCATCGAGTCCAACCCCCTGCCAAGCAGGAAACACCATCAGAGCACTCCTGACATATGGTTGTCAAGCCTCTGCTTTAAAGACCTCCAAAGAAGGAGACTCCACCACACTCTTTGGCAGCTGATGAAGATCAGTTTGTGGTTTAAAAGTTTTTTATAATTAACGTATTGTTTTAAGTGGTTAGCCACCCCATTCTCCCTTCTGGGACAAAGGGCAGGATATAAAGAATATAATGAAAATGTTAAAGAAAAGGTACCACTGTACAGTACATTGATTATTGCTTTCATTTTATGGATCAAGGGTCTTGTAAAATCCATGTTAAATTGCTGCTTTAGGGGTTGTTTTTAAAAGTCTGGAACGGATACTTTCTATAGGAAAACACACCTTGGTTTTGGAACGCTTTGGTTTTGGAACGGACTCTGGAACGGATTAAGTTTGAGAACCAAGGTACCACTGTACACATCTTCTAAACTGAAAAATGGGAGTATTACACACCGTATCAGAAATACAGGTTGCAATGGGACAGGTCCAATATCGCCCACAGAACCACACATAACTGCATTGCTGGATCGGACTAAAGACCCAGAGAGACCAGACACACCAGCTGGGAAGTCCGGAAGCAGAGAGAGCGCGACAAGAGATTAATATGCCACCATCAATTTAAGGAGCAGAATAGGGCAGTTTGCAATCTAAAACCCAACGCAGGAGAAATCGAGGGGAAAGGAGGCAAGGGTAAAAGGGAAAGGATGTGCAGTTGTTTCAGTTATATGGGCTTGTTCACAGGCATAAAAAATGCAGCTCGGCTTGGGAACTGGGGAGCTGTGCCAAAGGCTTTATACAAAAGGTTAAAATTGGAGGAGGGATTTGAAGGAAGCAGCAGTCCCATTTAAGAGCCAGCAAGGAAGAAAGGTCAGAGTCGTTTGAGGGAGCAGCCATCCTGTGGTATTTGCCTCCAGCAAATGGCATTCAGAAAAACACGGCCTCTGGAAAAAGGAGGCTCCGTTCAGTTCTCGTGGCTAGTAGCTGCCACTAGACTTATCCTCTAAGAATTTCACTTAGAAGCCATCTACGCAAAGGGCCGCCACAACATCCCAATGCAATAAATTTTGCAAAGTAAGCGTGTGCATAATTACATGGCAGGCTGCTCTTTTTCAGCCACCCCTGGTTCCTTTCCTCTGTCACGGTACTATGATTGCCTTTCGCTTGAAAATCATCTTTGGACCCATTCCCTTTCACATGTCTACCTTATCTGATCTCACCCGCAGTAGACAACAGATGCTAGCACACAGGATCACAGAGCTGGAAGGGATGGCAAAGATCATCTAAGTCCAATGCAGGAATCTTTTCTCCAACGTGGGGCTCAGACCCACAACCCTGAGATTAAGAGTCTCCTGCTCTTACCGACTGAGCAGTGTTAGAAACTGAGATATGAAAGCTGGGAGCTAAATGGCACCTTAAACCAAGGTTAGGGGCGCAATGACAGAATGCCTGGGCGTACTTTTTTATAACAAGAATACAAAGCTGGAAATGAATGAACTGCAGCTAAAATCTTACGTTCATTTTTTACATGGTCTAGTCCTCATTTGAAGACTGCCAAAAAAACCCAAAGCCATACTTCCCCTGCCCACCTCCGCCCCCTAATATTCTTATGAGGGTCCTTTCTCCAATCTTCGGAGAGTGACTGGAAGTGGGGAGGCAGAAAAAGGTCCTCCTTTCGTTCCAGCAGTGGCAGTTTTAATCTGAAATCTTAGGCACAGTACAGTGGTACCTCAGTTTACGAACTTAATCCATTCTGGAAGTCCGTTCTTAAACCAAGGTGCACTTTCCCTAATGAGGCCTCCCATCACCGGTGCCTTTCTACCAGTTGGATTCCGTTCTTAGACCAAGGTAAAGTTCTCAGACTGGGACGCTACTAGGGGCGTCTTGCCCATAGCGGCAAGTGGCATGAGGCACCAAGTTCTGCAGGTCGCCAGGGAAGAGGTGGAGGGTGGACGCGGAGAGCCAGTGTGGTGTAGTGGTTAAGAGCAGTAGACTCGTAATCTGGTGAACCGGATTCGCTTCCCCGCTCCTCCACCTGCAGCTGCTGGGTGACCTTGGGCTAGTCACACTTCTTTGAAGTCTCTCAGCCCCGCTCACCTCACAGAGTGTTTGTTGTGGGCGAGGAAGGGAAAGGAGAATGTTAGCCGCTTTGAGACTCCTTCGGGTAATGATAAGGCGGAATATCAAATCCAAACTTTTCTTCCTGGCATCAGCTCGCTGCCCTCACCCGCCTTGCTGAAGCAGCACCACACCCGGAGCCTCCCCTTCCCCGCCAGAGGAGCTGCCCTCCAGCCTCCTCCAGCCATGCAAAGCTGCCAGCAGAGCCATAAAAAGGTCTGCAACTCTGGGAAATGGGGGGGGGGGGAAGGATCTTTGTACCACGGCGCCGGATATACTTAAGACGGCCCTGGACACTACTTCCGGTTTTGCGGAGTTGATAAACTGAATAGTTCGTAAACAGGGCTGTTCTTAAACTGAGGTACCACTGCACTGCACCCAGAGCTCAGAAACTGCTTGCATTAATGAAGTTCCCTGTCTCAAAACACACCTAGAACAATGGAAGTTTCCAAGGCTGCAACCAAGCTATTTCTTGCTTTCTCGTTCTTCACAGCTTTTACACATCCAGAACCAGAAATGTCATATTTAAGAAAAATCAATTTAAAAATGGGGGAAAGTCCCCATTGTCAGACCTGCACCGTTTTAACCAGTTCTTTTTTGTGTGTGTCACTGATACAGAGTACTGTCACCTCTGCTTTTGCTGTCAATGGCAGACACACCGTGACAGCAGCTACAGCACTTTTATCACAGAATCATAGAACTGTAGAGTTGGAAGAGACCCTGATGATCAACTAAGTCCAACTTAGGGATATGCAGCTGTCCCATACAGAGACCTGTGAGCCTGGCACTATCAGCACAATGCTCTACCCAACTGAGAACCAGCTGCAGCGCTGATTTAAAGTAATGGTCTGTTGCTAAAACAAGCAGCCGGAATTAGTTCTAGGCATGCTACACTATTGCTCTCTGCCACTTCTGTAATTTAAAAACAAGTCTTAGCATGGATTCAAGGGAACGATTAGTAGTGATTTCATGCCTCCTTCCTTTGAGTCGTTTCATGGTTTCCTTCTTCAATTCTGCCTGAATTATCAACAACCAAGAAGGGAATCTGGTTTCACCAACCATGGGCATAGGATCATTTGTCAAATGATACAGGGAAAGCGCTAAATCACAGGGCATAACCCAGCACTTTTAACCTTTCCAAAGTACAAGAAAGAATTAAACGTGTTCTTAAATTTTCCCTTTGAAATTAATTGGAAAGGTATTAACTTTGGATGAATGATGCATTCAGTATTTTGGAAGAAAAGCAATAATGACAATAAAGCATCAGGCAAACAGGGCACAAGTTCAGAGAATAATAAAAGAATTGTAGTGCTGGAAGGGACCACAAGGGTCATCTAGTCCAACCCTCCGGAATACAGGAATCTTTTGCCCAATGTGGGACTCAAACCCACGACCCTGGAATTAAGAGACTCATGCTCTACTGAATGAGCTAGTAATGATAGAGATAGAGATAACAACAACAACAACAACAACAACAACTTATCTGTACCCCACCCATCTGGCTGAGTTTCCCCAGCCACTCTGAGCGGCTTCCACAAAGACCAAAAATACACTAAGGTGTCATACACTAAAAACTTCCCTGAACAGGGCTGCCTTAAGATGTCTTCTGAATGTCAGGTAGTTGTTTATCTCTTTGACATCTGGTGCGAGGGCGTTCCACAGGGCGGGCGCCACTACCAAGAAGCCCCTCTGCCTGGTTCCCTGTAGCTTTGCTTCTCGCAATGAGGGAACTGCCAGAAGGCCCTCGGCACTGGACCTCAGCGCCCGGGCAGAACAATGGGGGTGGAGACGCTCCTTCAGATATACTGGGCCGAGGCCATTTAGGGCTTTAAAGGTCAACACCAACACTTTGAATTGTGCTCGGAAACGTACTGGGAGCCCATGCAGATCTCTCAGGACCGGTGTTATGTGGTCTCGGCAGCCGCCCCCAGTCACCAGTCTAGCTGCCGCATTCTGGATTTTTGTAGTTTACGGGTCACCTTCAAAGGTAGCCCCACGTAGAGCGCATTGCAGTAGTCCAAGCGAGATAGAGATAGAGGTAGAGGTAGAGGTAGAGATAGATGGTTCTTCAGATCACTGACCAAAAGTAAGGGATCTTCACATAAAGTAGGTAACAATAATTTGCTTATCAGTTTGTGCAACACAAATGTGGTGGGACACACGAAGATTTCCTTTTTCGCAGCTTAAATATTTGCTGGATTAAGCATGAAATCTTGATCCCCTGTGAATGTTTATGAAGCCAATTGGGAATGCATGCAGAAAATGTGAGTCGGCACACGGGTGTTTTAATACTAAATAGGCATGAAAGCATGTTTTTCAATAAGAAGAGATGGCATAATTTTGCCTAGAACATTGCTTACCAGGCCAGAAAAAATGCCACCCTACCAGGTATACAACAAAAAACAATGTTTCCACATAGTGATCTTTAAGCTGGGGGTGGGGTGGGGGAATCACTAACCTCCAAATTACCGTATTTTTTGCTCTATAAGACTCACTTTTTCCCTCCAAAAAAGTAAGGGGAAATGTGTGTGCGTCTTATGGAGTGAATGCAGGCTGCACAGCTATCCCAGAAGCCAGAACAGCAAGAGGGATCGCTGCTTTCGCTGCGCAGTGATCCCTCTTGCTGTTCTGGCTTCTGAGATTCAGAATATTTTTTTTTCTTGTTTTCCTCCTCCCAAAACTAGGTGCGTCTTGTGGTCTGGTACGTCTTATAGAGCGAAAAATACGGTAACACGACGAAAATGTTCATTGAAGCAACCTGATTAAAAGGAGCCAATGTAAAATCTGTAGCAAAAAAACCCCACCCCAAAACCACATGTTAAGAGAGAGTGTTAAGGGATGTTTTCTTTTCTGCTCTCTTGTTTTCAGAACAATTTATTTGCTCAGTATTATAATAGATTCTTACACTGGACTTATTGTTTGTGATCTGAGGCCAATGTTGAAAACCATGCATGCACAATTTACTGTCAGCAGATGTTAGGACATTTCAGACATTCCAAGAATAGACAGACAGTCTAATGAAAACAACCTCAATAGATTTGCTCTTGTGAAACTGTTTACACTCAAGTGCTAACCGTGAGCAAAAGAGCGTTTTTCAGAAATTATGGCCATGGTCAACCTTGTAAGCGATGCTTATACAAACCACGTTCTCTCAAACACAGCTTCTTCTTCTTTTTCTAATTAGCAAAATCCAGGTTAACATTGCTTGAACCAACAGAACAAAAGCAAAGGATGTCAGAAGCTCCTTAATGTACATACAGAGTTTTATGGTTATCAATACAAGATATGGTAGGTAAATGTCAGATAAAGACCAATGTTACAGGCTGATCTACAAACCCAGTTATGAGACAACTGGAATGCCCCAACACTTCACACGTAATTTTTCATGTTTCAAGGACTTGCGTGGTCTAACTATATAGAAGTCGCACAAGAGAACATTAAAGCACAATGTTATGCATGTTTATTCATAAGGAAGTTTTGCAGATGGGGCTGATCCTAAACCTGCAATGCCTTGTGGGATATCTTTGGGAGAAGAAAAGGCTAAGGAGTAAACCCTACACAAATCCAGAGTGGAGTCCCTAAGATGGCTGCCTCCTTCTGGCAACTCCTGTAGACAAGCTGGTGCCAAACGTATTGCTCTGCTTTCTTTTGGACCATGTTAGTAAGGGTGAGGGGGCGGGGCTTGTCATTTGGGCAGCCCATACGCACTGCCCAGGCTTGCGGTCCAGAGAGGTCATTTCAGTACAGTGGTACCTCGGGTGAAGAACTTAATTCGTTCTGGAAGTCCTTTCTTAACCTGAAACTGTTCTTAACCTGAGGTACCACTTTAGCTAATGGGGCCTCCCGCTGCCACCGCGCCGCCGCCATGCAATTTCTGTTCTCATCCTGAGGCAAAGTTCTTAACCTGAGGTACTATTTCTGGGTTAGCGGAGTCCGTAACCTGAAGCCTCTCTAAACTGATGTACCACTGTACTGCTAATGTAGCTGTTTGGCTTCACCCCTGCCGGAGCATGTGATTTTTTCTCGAGACAGATGGGCGCCAACAACATTATAGTCATACCTCGGGTTGAAGTAGCTTCAAGTTAAGTATTTTTGGATTGCGCTCCGCGGCGACACGGAAGTAACGGAGCGCGTTACTTCCAGGTTTCGCCACTCGCGCGTGCGCAGATGCTCAAAATGCCGTCACGCGCATGCGCAGAAGCGGCAAAACGCAACCCGTGCACACGCAGACGCGTCTTACGTTTACTTCAGGATGCGAACGGGGCTCTGGAACGGATTCCATTCATATCCAGAGGTACCACTGTACTCTCCAAATAAACAGGTTATATCCAACAGAGCACTAAGCGACTGTCCTGTCAGAGAGAGGATTTATGCTTGTGCCACAGGACTTTCTCCATCTCCTTAAATCTGTTCTGGGGGTTCCCCCCAACTTTCTGGAACAGATTTGAAGAAGACATGCACAGAGGGAGGGAGGGACAGAGAAGGCACACTGCACAAACATAAATCCTTTGCCATGGTCAAATGTCACATTAAAACATCTGGCTCTCCTGATGTTGCTGAACTACAACTCCCATCATCCCTGGCCATGGGCCATGCTGTCTGGGACTGATGGGAGCAAAATATTCTCCACCCTGCATGAAGCTACAGTTAACATTTAACTATGGTGTTAACATGAACAAGGAGCAGGCTGGTGCAGGCTGTTCAAAACTCCCGGCTCCACTCCTCTCCTGCTGGGAACAGCTGCCACAAACCTCGGCCCGGTGTGTTGTGCCAACCCAGCTCATGGTTTCTTCCCCCCCCCCCCAAACAATCTATGAGCAATAAGCCAAGAGGAAATGTTGGTCACTCCATGGTTTGTTTTGGAGAGGAACAAACCATGAACCCAGGTTCGGACAGCACAACAAGCCTGCTGTTTGCTGCTCCTGGCACAGCCAGAAGCTGAGAGAGGAGCAAAGATGGGACTTTTGAGCAGAACCATCACACTGCTCTTTAACATTAAACCGCTGTTGAACATTAACTATGGTTTAATATAACATGCCAACCCGGCCAATGTCTTAAACGACAGTAGAGTAACTAACGTAGCTGGAGGTTGCTGGATTAGCATCTACTAGGGGACATTCAGAAAGCCTTCTATTCACTCCATTGCCTTCAGAGGTATCGTGAGGCTCCCAAAATACTTTTCAATAGCTCTTGTTGGAACACCAACAAATGCAGTTTTCAGTAATAAAGTTTCTGGCCGTCATTGTTATAAATTCAAAAACCACTCTGCAAGAAGAGAAGTTGCACCAGTTTTATGGAATAAGGACACAAAGTTACAGGGAACCAGGCAGAGGGCCTTCTCGGTAGTGGCGGCCGCCCTGTGGAACGCCCTCCCACCAGATGTCAAAGAGAACAACTACCAGACTTTTAGAAGACATCTGAAGGCAGCCCTATTTAGGGAAGCTTTTAATGTTTGATGTATTTATGGTATTTTAATATTTTAATATTTTTAATATTTTGCTGGAAGCTGCCCAAAGTGGCTGGGGAAGCCCAGCCAGATGGGCGGGGTATAAATTTTACATCCATCAAAACTGTGACAATGATATGCAATTATTAATTAATTAATTAATTTTTAAAAATTACCACCTTTCATCAGATATACCAAACTAAACTATTGGTAGCCTTCTAGCTCAGGGTATTTTGATATGATCTTCTCAGTCCTAAATAGATAGCTCACCTGTACTTCCTAGATTCTTAAGTCACTAACAGGGCTGCATGGCATAAATGAGTCAATGCATCAAATACTCACTTCAAAAAATATACTATCAACATCTGTTTTAATTTATATATCTTCCTTGCAGCCAGTAAGGCTTATGCGTCTTTCCCCACAAAACTTTCTTCTCTTCTGTGAAACAGGAGTCAGGTAAAGAAAGAGGGAGTTGCAGATGGCAATGCTTAAGCTAAGGCTTATTCTCATTAATATACTAAAACGGAAGGCATCTTTCCTGAATCCTGTCAAAGCGAGACTTGGTGCAGCGGTGCTTATTTTGTACTGGTTTTTCTCTTCCTTTAAAGATGAATTGCAAAATAACTTGCCTACTCTTCTCCAGGAACTTCCAAGAGATATAACCTACTTCCTCAAAGAAATTTTCAGACCCCTAGAGCTTTTGCACAGTTGCAAGATGAAGGTCCTCTCTGGCAGACTTCCCCAGCTGTTTGGTTGCCCGTCCCCTTTGACAGTTTGCAGGACCTGGAAAATGCCGCCGCAAAGAACACAGAGGTGCCGCACTTCAAAAGGACCTTTGATTCCTTTGTATGAAAGCAACTTTTTGGCATGACAGGGAGAGAGAGGCCACGTCAGTTAAAATTAGTGATGTGGAAATGAGCCTTACTCACAGCACCGGACTGCCAAGTTAACTTGCGAGACAAATCTGTGCCAAAAACACAAGAAGATTCTTCATAGTTAAAATCTCAACATTGTTGACAACGTTCTCCAACAAAGTTCAGTTATAGCAGACACTCCCAACCCAGAAATAAAGCTCTGTAATCAATGCATCTTCTGGGAGGGCCAAACAACACACAGCATGGAGATCAGAGACTGCATTTCCCAACATTTCACAGAATAACATTCTATGTATTGGAAGGGGCCGCAAGAGTCATCTTTTCAACGCCTTGCAATTCATGAATATTTCACTCAACATGGGACACAAACCCATGGCCCTGAGATTAAGAGTCGCATGGTCTACAGACTGAGCTATTCCAAGATTATTTGGTTTATTACTGAAATGCAAGTGCAGGAAGTTGCCAACATGATCCAAGCAATGGTGCTGGGCAAATGAGCATTTAACCCTTGGTGCTAATCATAACCACTCACACACACCCCAGGCTGCTATTTGTGCTGCAGGGCTGGCGGGAGGAGGAAATAAATGTAAGGTAGCCAAGGGACGCGGGTGGCGCTGTGGGCTAAACCACAGAGCCTAGGACTCAACGATCAGAAGGTCAGCGGTTCGAATCCCCACGACAGGGTGAGCTCCCGTTGCTCGGTCCCTGCTCCTGCCCACCTAGCAGTTCGGAAGCACGTCAAAGTGCAAGTAGATAAATAGTGGGAAGGTAAACGGCGTTTCCGTGCGCTGCTCTGATTCGCCAGAAGCGGCTTAATCATGCTGGCCACATGACCCAGAAGCTGTACGCCGGCTCTCTTGGCCAATAAAGCGAGAAGAGCGCCGCAACCCCAGAGTCGGTCACGACTGGACCTAATGATCAGGGGTCCCTTTACCTTTACCTAGCCAAGGGACAAATGAAAAGTGTCAAACAGTTTGGCCTTGCATGGCTGTCTTTCTTTCCAAAACCAACAGCCGGCATGGTAAGTGAAGGGGAGCTTTAACCTTTTGCCGCCATCACAGTCCCAACTGGACGAACCTGCACCACACAGCAGCTATTTACAACACAAGGAAAGCTCATGTGTTTCTAGGTATTTATGTAACTTGCCTGCTTGAGCATTTTGGTGGTGCCATCAGAAGAGAAGCGGCTAAGATACAACTTAAGTGGCCCTGTTTAGCCACAGAACACTATTCCACAGCAAACATATCAGATTAATGCGCCCTAATTCCTCCAAACACCTGAACACATTGTGCAGAAGTTGGGGCTAAATGAGGCTTGGTAATTAATTAACTGAATGAATGCAGTCAACAGGCATTTTGCACTGTAAGCAGCAGCCACGGGGTGGGTGGGAGCAGCAGCAGGGTTCTGGATTCCGCAGTTTCTTCCTCCCCCTTGCAGTGGACCCAACAATGAATATATATATATCAGGAGTTATTACTGTACTACCAAATAGATCCCATATCAATTTCAGATAGGTCTGAATTCATCATATAATTCTTGACTTCCTCCATTTCCCTGCTGAACTCTAAAATAATAATAAAAAACCCCAAAATTTATGAGCTCACCCACCCAGCGTTATTTTCAAAACTTTTTAAGAGTGAAGACAGACAAGGCAGACATTCCAAGATTGATGGGAGCAGTCTGAATATATATTTTTTTCTGTCCTGGAAAAAGAACGCCTCAGAATGCAGCAAATAAATGTTCAGACCACATCTGCTGAACTTTGGAATGAATGCCTATCTCTTCACCCCATATTTGTTATTTGTGATTTGATCAACTAGTTCTCAAATATATAATCTCAGCTGTAAAAATTTAGACCATGGAGGTTCCCTACCAGACAGACATTCTCTTGAGTTCACAGTTCCATTCTATAATTTGGATAGATGACGTTGCCTATGTTTTCCACAACTCAAAGGAATCTAACATACTATTAGAACAGAAGCAAAGCCCATGTATCAATGCAGCTATGTGAAATTTAACTGGATAGATTATGTATGTACTTGTCCCAAACACTTAATAAATAACTCCTAGGCTGCGGGAGTTGCTGGAAGGAGGCGTACAAGGTGCCATCCAACCAACTTAGAGACTCCATTCTGGATTTGTGTAGGGTTTACTCCTTAGCCTTTTCATCTCCCAAAGATATCCCACAAGGCAGAAGTAGTTTAGGATCAGAGTTTTCCTTATCCTAGATCAGGCTTTCTCAACCTTGGTCCTCCAGATGTTTTGAGACTACAGTTCCCATCAACCCTGACCACTGATCCTGCTAGCTAGGGATCATGGGAGTTGTAGGCCAAAAACATCTGGAGGGTCGAGGTTGAGGAAGCCTGTCCTAGGCTTCCCAGGATGAGAAGCCCCATCTGGCCCTCACTTCCCCCTACAGCAATTGCAGAAACAACCTTCTTGACCACTGGACTCACTATTGGTCTTGTTTGCTCAATCTACCAGAGTCTGTTTTCGCATGCAGGGGAAGTCCCTAACTTACCAAGCGTTTCAGACCCATTGGCTACCCTCACCTGGTTTAGCTGGACAGTGAAAGCCGTTCCCACAAGCCACAGGTGCAGGATGGGGACCAAAGGTGGACAAACTACCCCGGAAGGAACATGATGTGTCCCCCACCAGAGGTACTATCTTTCCTAACACCCCACACACCCAAACGTCATGAGAGAATGAGGTATCCCCCTATCAGGTGCCACACTGAAGTACACACTTAAAACTTCTGAAAAGGCTTGATTCCAACACTTTTCAGGAAGGTAATTTCACATTGAGCACCTGAAGCTATGTGCGGGTAAAAACTTTACCTCTCCGTGCACAGCTTGCCTGTCAGTATCGATTTGGTGCTACTGTGATGTTAATCTGCCCTGCATAAATTGTGCTCTGAACATCTGGAAATAGCTCGGAGGGAGACAGAACCCTCTAGTTCCCAAGGAATGAAAATGTCAGGATGCAAACCTCGAATAATGGAATTGTGGCTACTGCAGCCATATTTATGCCCATTCCGTGAGCACCAACTTGTATACAGCATAGCGCAGATGCTTTGTGATCGTGAATATGGGAGAGCAATAAGGTTCGTTTGCTTGTTTTGCAAATGGGCTGCCTCTGTTGGTTGCTGTGTGGTCTATCTATATTGCCAAGTTGTCAGTGTCTTTTAAAGTGTTGATTCGCAAGGCTCCTGGATGGGATAAAATACAGCACGCATACCGATATCCAATATTAATAAGCTAAATGCCATTCATTATTAAAACTGTGTACGGATCAGATAGTCAAGTGAATATGCAGTTAGGGCTTCACGGGTCAAAATGATCTTCTGAACAGGGAGAGGCAAATGATCAAATCTCCTCTGCCTCCGACAGATCCTGGTAAACATTAGTGCACAGTCCTGGGGGGGGGGGGGGAATCACACCATTACCCGAACAAGGGAAGAAAACGCACACAAACACAATGGAAGGCGTCAGTAAACTCTGCAATAAAAACCTTTGCAAAATGAAACCGGGCTGTTCATCAGTCCAGGCAAAGCCTAAATCCTCAAGACCCCGTCTAATCTTCGGGGATTAGGGCTAGACAATTCTCCTGGGGTTGGTAAAGCACGTTAACAACAAGAACAAGCTAGTAACGTAGTAACAAGGAAGAGGGTTGTTTTGCAGCTGCCAGGGTGAGCAATGACTAAGGATTCTGAAACTGCGAGAAATTCCTCTCGCAACCCACCACAGAGCGAGAAGGGAAAATGACCAAACAGCAGATGTGATCAAGGAGAAGGGGGGCTGGGGAGTCACAAAGAAAGCGGGGGTGGGGGTGGGGGGGAGGAGAACTTCTAGACTCTTCAGGGCAACAGTGACTTTTAAAGCAAACCACTTCACCAGAGATGACGAAAGTCTTCGACTCAAGGTTGGTGTTGTTTTACGAAGCCTGCGCCAATTAAAAAAATATATATTCTCAGGACTCTTTAAAGGCGGAAACCTGTCCAATTCAATAAGGATATCGAGTTTGCAGGTTTGATTGTTTTTAAGAGGTTTACCTCCTTTCGCTATGAGGTACCGGGGCCCTGTTGCAGCATTACAATCAAGCAATTAAAAAGAAATAAAAGAAGTAAGGCAGTTGTGCATGCAATTATAAAAGCAAGTAAGGCAATTCCAAGGAAAAGCAGCACAGTGCGGATTGACCAAAACAAGAGATGTATCCCACAAAAAATAAAATTTAAAAAAATCCCACCTGTCCAAGGCCTGAGTCAAGCAGTGAGTCTTCAGCATAGTATGGAACATGTATAATGAAGAAGCTAGAAGTGTTTCTGCTGGGAGGAAGATTCACAATTTAGGGGCTACCACAGAGAATGCCCTGTCCGGGTGGCCCACACATCTTAGAGTGGCAGCATTACCAAGGAAGCCCGTGTGAAAAGCAATTTTATTTTTAATTATCCATTAAACACCTAAACTTTCCAAACACTGCACATGAACAATAATGTAAAGAAATAAGGCAGTCTATATCAGGGTGGTTCAATGTGTGGCCCAAGGGCTACATGTGGCCCTCAAGGCCCCTTTTGGGTGGCCCTTGGCAACAATTGATGCCCCCCCTCACCCTCAGGCTGCCTTCCCAAAGCTGGGCTTTGGGAAGGAGGTGTGAGGGCTCTGACAGGGTCCCAGAGTCTTCCTAAGGGTAAAGGGACCCCTGACCATTAGGTCAAGTCGTGGCTGACTCTGGGGTTGCGGCGCTCATCTCACTTTACTGGCCGAGGGAGTCGGCGTACAGCTTCCGGGTCATGTGGCCAGCATGACTAAGCCGCTTCTGGCGAACCAGAGCAGCGTACGGAAACGCCGTTTACCTTCCCGCCGGAGCGGTACCTATTTATCTACTTGCACTTTGCCGTGATTTCAAACTGCTAGGTTGGCAGGAGCAGGGACCGAGCAACAGGAACTCACCCCATCATGGGGATTCGAACCGCCAGCCTTCTGATCGGCAAGTCCTAGGCTCTGTGGTTTAACCCACAGCACCACCCGTGTCCCAGAGTCTTCCTACCTCCTTCCTAAAGCCTAGTTGGCACTTTCCCAGCTTTGGGAAGGAAGTGGGAGGGCTCCAGGACCTCACGGCTCCTTCCCAAAGCCCAGCACCTTACTTAGCAGGCTTTGGAAAGGCAGTGTTAGAGCTAGGGAGGTACCAGATTTGGGGTTCACTCCCCCCTCCCCATGTGTGCAGCCTGCAGTCCACTTGGTATGAAAAGTTGGACAGTCTGGTCTATATAAATGCTCAGAATCTAACAGGCACAAGACTAGATAAGGGAAGAGGAAAAGAAGCAAATTCAGGGACCAGTTCTTGAAATTACAGCAAATCACATAATTGTTATGGTAATGACTACCTAAAGTTGCTGCTAAAGAGACAATTTTGGGAACGCAGGGGATCTTGGGAGAAAAGGATCCAAACAGGTGTTCCTTGTCATGTTTTAATCTAGCTAAATTACACATAGTCCAACCATTCACCCTGCTAAAGGAAAGGAGGGGAAACCAAGTAGCAGCTCACTGCTACCAACGTAGATCATGGCTAAGTAGTCACATTTAGATGATCAAATATGAAGTTTTTAAAAATGATAGCAATGTCCCTGCGGGCCAACCTTCCCCAACCTAATGCCAGCCAGATGTTTTGGACGACAAGTCCTATCTTCTGCAGTCGGCATGGCCAACAGCAAGAGATGATGAGAGTTGAAGTCGAAAACATCTGAAGCCATCAGATTGAACAAAGCCGCAATATACCATGGTTAAACTACAACAATGGTTACACTACAATTTTCAGAGTGAGTTTCAGACACCATAATATGCATACAACCAACTCCAGAAGGTGGAGGTTTGGGCATTTCACAGGATCCGCTGCCTTAACAGGACTATCATTTCAACTTCACGGAGTCGTAGAGAATTGTGTTTGCAGGTTCCGATTCTTCCAGGTGAAGCGGCTTCATTGATGGCGCCATGCCCAAGGGCCCCCAAATCCTGGAGCCAGAATTGTTTGTGTCTTATATTTCCGTCACACAATATCACCCTTATTGGTATTTTTAAAATCACGCTTGCTGTTGTTCTTCGCTTGCTCTAGAAGGCCTCTTTCCTTCTCTTTTTGACCATTTGGGGAAGGAAAGACAAAGAAGCAAACAAAAAATCTGCTTTCATAACCGTTTTAAGTTTCATAACTATGGGAACAGTGCTCCCACAGAATGAGCACTCCATCCATAAAAATTATACGCGCAATTTCTCCACACATCAACAAATAAGATTCAATTTTGGCAGCGCTGCTAGAGCGACAGCGATTCCGCTTGCGACAGCCAAATTCAACGGACGGCTTTGGCTGGGGAAAGTATTGCACCATGTTAACCTATCGGATGCTGTCTTCTACTGCGACACTACTTCAACTTGTGCAGAAAATTCAGCTTGTGGAACAACACTGGCTCCCCCACTACCCAAGCAAAGACAACATTTGATCTCACCCAATGTATTCTAGGTTACACGTGTGTTGCATATGGGGGGGGGCATTGTAGAAACACCACTGAAGTGTTGCATTAGCCATTTCCCCCAGACTTTCTGCTGCCCACAAACTTCTCATCTTTTTCTTTTTCTTTTGCAGGCCTTTACAAACAGCCTTCAAAAGATCCTAAAACCATCTCACACTCATAGGTGGACAAATGGCACTATGGAATAGTTAGACGTCCACCAGCCGCACCTCAACATTAATTATTGTCACCAGTGATGTGGAGCAAGAAGCAGTCCATCTGCTGCTTTGTTTTTTCTGTCAAATGCCAGCCAAATGGGCAGCCTGAAAGTGCCATTATTTTGCGCCATGACTATTCCTAGAAAGATGCAGGCACAAACATAAACACACAGCTGTTTTGTGCATGCAAAAAATTGTGCTTTATTTTTCAGTGCCTCGATTTAAAAAAAAATAAATCAATTTTAAACAATGTAAGGAAGTGTATGCTCTTGAGTTGTCATATTCCAAAATACTTAATAAGTATTCCAACATAATTTCCAAGCAAACCTTCAAATATATATAATTTAAACTACATAAACAGCACTTCAACTACCCCTCAAAAGCCATGTATTTGAAATAATATTTTTTTTGGGGGGGGGATACAAGTCAAATAGCACACTAAATTAGGCCCCAATCAATTTAGGGCATTTTTTATTTTAAAACCCCCCTTGATATTTCCAAGAAAATCCTCATCAGACACATTGAACGCAGATTGTCAATCACACGCTAGTAACTCCTAGCAATTAAGTATATTTCTAAACCTTATATGCCTAGCCAAAAGTTGAATTAGATCCAAGAGGTACATCTTATCCTGACAGAAATTCATACTGAAATCCTCAACTTTCTCTTTTCTAGCCGGTATAACACTAAGCAGGGATAATGGAGCTCTTTTATCTCCCAAAAAGATGGGAATGAGTAAAGAACTTGCATAGCTTGGCCTGAGACTTCAGCTTGGCGTCAGACTACTTATTCACTATAAACCAGCTATATTGTGGGCAGGCTACTGGACAGGAACCAATCCTTTTGACGTGCCTATTTTCGCAATGTGGAACAACCTATGGTTTTCCAGGGCATAAATGACTGTTGGAAGGAACCATGAAGTAATAGAGCAACTCTTAATGAAAGGGCAAAAGGCTTTCTGCCCTTAACCACCTTGAATTCCCACTTCCACAGCTCTGCCCTGCCTCCTGTTCTCTTGCAGCAGAGTTACTGAGCCAGGGAGAAATGAACCCTCCTCCTTCCTTTCTGCCAGTCAATCATTATTATTTCTTTCATATCGGCTGCAAAATTAGTTACCCCTTTTTCCTCTCTGCTGCAGATTCTATTCTCTGTATTTATGGATGTCCCTGAGGCAAGTCACTATTGGCAGGAGGAGGAGGAGAGAGACAGAGAGAGAGAACAAAGGACTTTCACAAAGGAATTTAATCTGAGTATATTAGCCTTCCCAGCTTCAGCGGACTTGCTAAACTGCTGGATGCATTCCAATTGCCCTGCACAACGCCAGCATGAGCTGGAAGCATCAGATCTGGTAACAAGATGCATCATATCCTAGTGAAGTGGCAAAGGCTCTGAGCATTTCTCACAAACCAGCATCATCTGCTTTGGATCTCTTTGGCCCATTAGACATAATGCATCATTCGGAGGCATCTGCATCATTTCTCACTCTTGCGGGGCCACTCACACCAGCTCTGCATTTCCCCTTCCAATAAGCGTGCCAAAAAACACTTCCTTTACACCTGCCTATTTAAACTAGGGGGTGAAGGATTTCAAATCCAATTGGGACGTTTGACTTTCTGAAACAAAACGGGATGGGGAACTGCATTCAATTTTTATCCGGTGCAGTGATCTGGAGTATAAGGCTGCTGTTTAACATACAGCATTTATTTTGTTATAACTGTTCTTATCTTGCAAATGAAGCTGATTGCAGTCATAAAGTATGGTCAGGCAATTTGAAATCCACCCCCTCCCCCTTTAATTTGCAAGAACGGCAAAGGACAATGTAATGCCGAGGCTGGAAACCTGGCTGCGTCTTTATGCTGTGGAAGAGAAGGCGCACTCTGCACGTTGCCAGAGACCCTCTTCTCTTTATTATTTCGCATCCTCCATGCGTATGCTCGGCCTCTTAGAAGGGGAAGGCTATGAAATAAGCCATGACAATCTACAAGTCTCACGCAGCCCCAGCAGCAGCCGGAAGTTCAGCTGAGGACAAGAGAGGCTGCATCATTTTTTGCAGACAGAGACCTCGCGCGGCACAGAGGCAAAGACTGAACGGCAAAAGCATGAGGTCTCCCGCCTGACTAGGCACTTTAGAGCGCAGCAATATGACAGCCTGTTCAGAAGTGACACCTCAGTGGCTTCAATAAGACTTTACACAGGAGCCAACTCCCAGGGGCTGCCGAGATCTCTTCGCCCCCTCCCCGCAAAAGTAAAATATTTGAGGGAGCCGGGGCACCCCACAGTTGATGGGCATTGTCATTCGAATGATGTGCGTGCGATCGATTATGTGGGATGGGGTTGCCCCAATATGTCATTCAACTTGGCACCCCTGGAACTATTTCTAAGGCTGCGGTCCTTCGCCCACTTACTTACCTGCGCGAGCACAGCCAGCAAGTACCGAGGATAAGGCTACAAGTAACCAAGTTGGGCAACCTTTCTTTTCCGGCCTCGGCCCTCCAAAGACTACCTTCGGGGATACCAGCACCGAGCTGCCTTGCAAGGGCTGTTGCAAAGGGGCGCGCAAAACCCTCGGCACCGCCGGCGCTGCGGTTTCGCCGGGGATCCCCCTGGGCGCCGCGCGCCAAGGCGCGCCGGGGAATGTCCAGACGCGCCGCGCTTTTACGCACCTCAAAAGTGGGTCACTCCGGCGGCGGAGCCATGAGGAGAGGGGGAGAAGCAAAGGCGGCAAAGCGGAGCCCCAGGAAGCCGAGCTGCCGCGGCGACCCCCGGCTCGGGCTGCAACCCCCCCACGCAACTCCAGGAGCGCGTCTTCGGCCTTGGCGAGGAGAAGAAGAAGAAGAAGAAGAAAAAGAGGAAGACGTGCGGCCGCCCCTTCGCCGGTCTCTCTGCCCCCTTGCAAGCGCCTTCAGCGCATTGGCCGCAGCCAATGGCACCGGCGGCGAAGCCCATGTGATTCCGGGAGACGCCTTTCCTCTCTTCCCCACCCCCACTACCCCGGCGCGCGCCCGGGTTCAGGTTCAGGTGCAGGCGCGGCGTGCGACAGGGCCGCCGGCAAGGGGAGCTCGCCACGCGCCTGCTGGCTGGCTGGCCCGGTCCCGTCGCCGCGCCTGCACCTGAAAGCTCCAATCAATGCTAGAAACAGAGATATGAAAGCTAGGCGCTAAATAGCACTTTAAACCTAGGTTATGTAGGGTTGCCATATTTCAAAAAGTAAAAACCAGGACAACCCGAAAGTTATTGAGCTTTTCAAAAGGAAGGTCCCAAAATTGAGATTTCTTTAGGGAAAACCCAAAATTGTTGAGCTTTTTCTTTAAGGAGACCCCCAAAATTGTTGAGCTTTTCTTTAGGGAGACCCCAAAATTGTTGGTCTTTTCTTTACGAGAATGCCAAAATAAGTGATTTTTCAATTGACTTGCCTAAGATCCAGGACAAAATGCCACTTTTCAGAAACCCCACCACCCCTATGTCCATTCCGCCATTGAAATCCCGGTAATGTCCAGAAAAATCCGGACATATGGCAGCCCTAAGGTTATGGGTGCAACCACAGAATGTCTAGGCATGCTTTTTTTATAACAAGAATACAGTGCTTAAAATGAATGAATGGTGGATAAAATATTATGTTCGTTTTCCACAGGGTCTGGTCCTTCCCCTGCCCACCCCCTAACATTCTTAAGAGGGTCTCTTCTCCAGTCTTCAGAGAGGGGCTGGAAGTGAGGAGGCAGAAAAGGTCCTCCTTTCCTTCCACACCGCAGTTTTAATCAAAAATCTTAGGTGCAGTACTGAGCCTGGAGCTCAAAAACGGCTCGCGCTAATGAAATTCCCTGTTGCAATAATGCACCTAGAACAATGGGAATTTTGAACGCTAGTCCCCATAGGTCCGGCTGCGGAAACTGGTACACGTGTAGAGCAGGGTGAGCCTCAGGAATGGCATTTGGCTACGACCCGGATTTGCTGTCAGCCCGCCTGCTTGGCCATTGAATTGCACCTCTTCCTCCCCCAAGAGTTGCTTAGGGTAGCGAATAGTGGCATTCGCTCCCTGGGCCAGCGTTGTCTCGTAGCTTGCTACAACAAGAGTTCTGTGGCGGCCTTAAAAGGCCAGCAGACGCTTCTGTGGCCTATAGTTCCTCAGATACTGCCCTATCATAGAGTTGGAAGGGACCACTAAGCTTGTCTAGTCCAACTCCCTGCAATGCAGAAATCTATTTGCCCAGAGGGAGGCTCGAACCTGCGGCGCTGAGATTAAGGGTCTTGTGCTCTGCCAGCTGAGCTACCCACAAAGGCACCATCTCTATACTGTATAGAGACCATTACTGCTAAACTGTTAACAGGAGTGCCAGTTGGGCCCTGCAACCCTGGGTGCCTGGGGCTGTATGGCCCTAGCACCGAAATTTGTGGATGCCTAGCCCCTTCATGGGAAATTTTGTGGGTGCTTGGGCACCCAGGGCCCCAGGGAGTTGGCACCTATAACTGTTAGCCAACTGTTGAGAGAGGGAAATAGGCTGGGTGTGTCCTGGAGTTTATGCATTGGAGTGGCAAGTGGCGCTGTGGTCTAAACCACTGAGCCTAGGGCTTGCCGATCAGAAGGTCGGCGGTTCGAATCCCCACGATGGGGTGAGCTCCCATTGCTCGGTCCCTGCTCCTGCCAACCTAGCAGTTCGAAAGCACATCAAAGTGCAAATAGATAAATAGGTACCGCTCCGGCGGGAAGGTAAACGGCGTTTCTGTGCACTGCTCTGGTTAGCCAGAAGTGGCTTAGTCATGCCGGCCACATAACCTGGAAGCTGTACGCCAGCTCCCTCAGCCAATAAAGCGAGATGAGTGCCATAACCCCAGAGCCGTCCGTGACTGGACTTAACGGTCAGGGGTACCTTTACCTTTTTAAATGCACTGGATTGTGCTATCAGTCATTTGGCTGTAATTGTCATACTCCTAAGGCTGTAATATTGCACCCACTTACCTGTGAATAAGCTCCATTAAACTCAATGGGACTTCTGAATATAGGATTGCACTGTCAGACTGCAGTTCTATACACACTTACCTAGGAATAATCCCCACTGAGCACAGAAAACCATATTTCCAAGTAAGGATACATAAGCTTGTACTTAAAGACTGCCTCAGTTGAGTGAATACCACTGAGCAGGCTGGGACCTACTTCTGAGTAAGTGTGCATTGGTTTGCACTACATGGGTGCAATCTTAGTCACTTACTTGGAAGTAAGACCATTTAACTCAGCAGGAGTTGTTTCTGAGGATACATGCACAGGGCTGGGCTGCAAAACTCAAATAATTATTGACTTGAAACTGTCTATTTAAAGTTTCCAGGGAGCAACATCAGCTTCTGAAATCTAAAGAACATTATATCAATTGTCTCAAATACATCTGTGGTTGTATTTTTAACTCAGCTTTTCTTTATGGCAATTAGCTGCGGGTTATTTTAAGCCTTTTTAAAACGCTTGGCCAGTCCAATCCAACTCAATTATTTTTCTCACTCAGCTGCTTCTCATTTATATTATTTCTGGCCAGCTGTGAAAAGGCCTCACTTGTTGCTTCCACTGTGTTTATTTGTTGTGTTTGGTTTTATTGACTGTGACAGTGGGGTGGACCTAACATGCTGAGTGTCGTTTCTGCTGCTTGGCCTCCATGCTGAGGAGAAAAAGTGGGTTAGCACTGAGAGACATAACAAACAATAATATATTTTTAAAACTGGCTGGAAAGCCTTGTGTTGGCAGTTAGCAGAATGAAACCATTAAAGGTAAAAGAAGATTATCAACTGAGATTTGACCAAACAAAATGGAGATGGATAGATATTGAGGACCAAAGTTTTAAAGATGAATCTAGAATCAATGGGCCTTTTCACACATTACAGTCATCCATAGTTAATGGTTCACCATGAACACCAATCTGGGTTGTTTTGGTCGCAGTGAACTACAAGCTGTAGTCCATGGGTAGGCAAACCAAGGCCTGGGGGCTGGATCTGGCCCAATTGCCTTCTGGATCCGGACCGCGGACAGTCCGGGAATCACCGCGTGGATCGGCGTGGGGATTCTGATCGTTCAGGCTGCGCCATTCCCCCTCCCTCCCTCACACACACCACAGCGGCGCCTCCCTCCCTCCTCCTGGCTTCTCCCTGCCCTGCCTAGAGGAGGAAGGGGGCTGGGCTTTGTTGAGCTGCAGTTGGCTGAGCACCATTTTAAGCAGCCCCTCTCCAGAGCCAGCCCTTTCGTGCCGTTCATCGTTCCTCTGCCACTGCTGCCAGCCCCTGCCACTCGCAAGGCATAGGTAAGCAGCCACTGGGGCTCATCCAGTGCTGTGGAGAAGGTAGGGGAGAGTCAGTGGGGGGGGGAATCCCCCCCAATATAGTCTCCCCAAGGTCTGAGGGACAGTGGACCGGCCCCCTGCAGAAAAAGTTTGCTGACCCCTGCCGTAGTCAGTTACTGATAATTGTTTATTAGACCGAAATAAACCACAATCCCCAATTCAGACATAATGCTAAGCCAGGAATCCTGGTTTATTTTCCTGGTTTACTTGCTTTCCTGGGGTGAATGCCATTCAACTCAGTGGAGCTTACTTTTGAGTAGGCATGTATGGGACTGTAAGTCTCTGTCTACCAACTCTACTGCAATTGACTTGTGTCATATGTTTGTCATGCAGTCACACAGAATACGGTGCAACTTTTCTTAAGATGACTTTGGGGAAATACACAACTCCATGAAATACACAATTTCCAGGAAAACAACTCAGCTTCTCAGTCCACTAACAGAAAGGAAACATCCTAGATTCGCCTGAGTAAGATGTGAAGTGAAGCAAACTGCTCCATAGCAACTTTCTTCAGGAGAAAGTAGAAGGAAGAAACAGGCAGTGTAAGCTACAGGCAAACACCGTTAAAGGAGAAATGGCACTAAATGGATTTTAACCTTAGGAGATACCTGTTAATTAACAACCGTGGCTATGAGATGGAAAAAGTTCAAAGTTCCAAATTAACTCTGTACAAAACAAGAAGGCACAGGAATCTAAGTTCCAAAGGATCAATGATTAATTTGCAGCTCAAAAGCACAGAATGTCTTGTTCTAATTGCATAAATAACAGTGAAAATATGAATGCACATATGAATGAAAATAAATCATTATTCATGGTTTGGTTCGGGTTTGATCCTCTTAATAACTGAGGGACACACAAAAAGGGGGGGGTATGAAGTTGTATGCATTTTACCAGGTTGAGCTTTGTATGATGAGTAAATGGAATCACAATTACACTTTCGAGCCAGCCTGGGCTCTGGGTTTCAGTCATAGAAGAACTTGGCACCACAATCTGCTGTCTGTGGAGGCCAGGAAGAGCCAGCATGACCTAAAGAGGACTTCTTGATATCCACCATAGGTGATGCTTTGAGATTTCCAGAGCTGAACTCTTTGCCTATTTTTATTTAAAAATTTTTTTTAAAATGTCCATCTATACCCTTCTTTCCCCCAAAGTCTGCCATATACACACATCTGTAATTTATTTGCAGCATGTCCTCCTCAAAATTTGGACAGAAAGGGAGGAAGAGATGAGGATGATAAGAGAACAAGTGTGGTCAATTTCACTGGTGCCATCGTCCCCACTGGAACCACACTGAGGACTGCAGAATTAGATAAATTCACAAGGAAACAGGGACTAGTCATGATTGCTTGAAGGAACTTTCATGTTTCCAGTGGCAGAATTCCTCTAAATACTAAAGACAAACCACAAAGGAAGACTGCTGTCTTTCCGCCCCACTGCTAAGCTTCCCAGAAACAACTGACCGGCCATTGTTGAAACCAGAATACGAAACTAGACCAACATTTGGTGCAATCGAGAAAGGCCATTGCTTTATTTTTAATTCAACTCCAGTTTATGGTTTATTCAGTAGCGTTAACAATGCCGGGCTTAAAATTGCCTCTTGAATGATTCTCCCTGGCAGAATTAGTCCTGTATCTGGTTACATGAGCTCCGACTTCCAAGTCCAAAACAACCCATTCTCAGAACGCTTCTCAAGATCTGCTTGCAAATACCAGGTACAGAATGTACTTATGCACTGCACTTTTTGAACTGTTGCGAAACTCTTGCCAATGGAAGGCCTGCGCAAGGGCTTCTGCTTGTGCAATAGGGCTTTCCCCCCTCCTCCCCCCTCCCACCACATGGCCCCCCAAATTGGCTTGGGGTTGGGAGAACCCCCCAGAACAGTGGGGGTGGGGCGATTGTCAACAAGATGATACATTTGCACAGACAAAATGTTCAACATAGCGTGGCACTGAATTCCACCCTTTGTTTTACGCTCTGTGGTTGGTCCTTTGTCCTGGCAGGCCTAATTAATTCACCTGCAATACATGATATGCTGTTACATCTGATCAAATTTACAGGATTAGAGCAATTCACAACAATTGGTAGAATTCCTTGTGTCCCAAAGCCTATGGCTCCACAAGAAATTTAAAAAGAAGTTGGTTTTTTTGCAAGCAATGCAAATGTTGATAGCTGTATCGGGGGTTACTTGAGAACAATCAGGAAAGTGCCTCCCTGGTCGGCGTGGTTACTCTCCTCCGCTGAGGAGGTGCTGCTTCCCATGATCTTTGGGGGCTCTCTGTAATCCATCTGGCTTTTCCCCTCTTGCCCCTGAGCCGATGGCAGTTCCCTGACAATAGCTCTCTCTTTATTTCTACTTTTTCCTCGTTCAGAAAGCTGCATGGGGAAGCCACCTATGAACGGATGTAACCCCACCGAGAAGCACTATTCGAGTTGGGTTTTTGGTTTTGCACGTATTATTTATTTTATTTAGAAAAAACAAAAATGTATACATGGTCCTGTCCTGGAAGCAGCACTTCCAGAGCGGTTTGCAAAAGCAAGACAAAATACAAAAATCCTTCTGCAGTGTTGGATAGCAGGTGGAGAGGAGTTCCCTACCAGGACAGACTTTGCTTGTGTGCTCAAGACATTGATTCTATAAAACATATTTTGCTGCACTGTGCAAAATATGAGCAAGTCAGGGCTGAACTGATATTACCCTTGCTGGTACCTTTCCTGGGAAAATCAGAGGCTCACTATGTCAGGTTCCTATTGGAAGACAATAGGCTAGAACATTAGCAGTGGCAAAGTTTTTATCGGTGGTTGCAAGAACCAATGATCCCTATCTTTAAGTCTGAACAAAATGTTTGTTTAACCTGGAGGTAGGCTGTCTGAATTGTGCATTGCTTTGTAACTATTTGCTGGGTCTCTGGACCGTAATAAAGATTGATGATGCCACTGAAAGCAGAAGAAGCCAGTGTAGTGTCCTCCATGTTACTGGACTATGACTCCCATCATCCCTGACCATTGGTTCTGCTGGCTAAGACTGATGGGAGTTGTAGTTACTTATCGCCTTGGCTAGGGAACTGCATAACTCCATACCCTCCAATATTTCTCTGATGAAAATAGGGATGTCCTACGGAAAAGCGGGACATTCCGGGATCAAATTAGAAATGTCTTCTGTAAATCTGGAAAATAGGGACACTTGTAGGGTCTGCATTGTGTGACTTTAATGGTTTTGGGAATTCAGTTTAAGTATTTCACTTTAGGTATTAAGGGAACCTGGGAGGGTTGGTGGGCTTATATTCTAAATGTTGGATGATTTAGCTCAGAGGTCTTCAACCTTTCTGGGTCCTTGGCTCCCTTGACCAACCACACTCTTTTTGCGGCACCCCTGGAGGGCTCAGGAACCCAGTTATGCCATCCCTTTCTTGCAGAGATGAAAGCCTCTCACCCTTTCTCGAACACCCTCTCTTGTGGAGCATTCCCTCAGCCTTCTCTCCTCTCCTTGGGAGTCCTCTGGGCAGCCACTGGTCTTGTGAGCTGCCCTCCTGCCCAAAGAGAGGTACCTTCTCACACTGCCCCATTGGGACTGGGGAAGCAGCCCCTAGCCAGCCCCAGAAGCACCATTCATGTGGGGAGCTTGTAGCCAGGGCTGCTGCAACAAACAGCCGTGCAAGTCTTTGGGAGGCAGAGACACAAGAGGGCATCAGAGGAGGGAGAGAAGGAAAGAGGGACAGAGGCCACAGTTGCCTGCGGCACCCCTGACCATCATTCAAGTCACCCCAGGGTGCCACTGTTTGCACACTGGTTGAAAACCACTGGTTTAGTTCATAGCTGTTTCTCGGGTGGGGGGGGGAATATGTCACTTCAATATCTTTCTTCTTCAGTCACCAGATTCCAGGCAAAATTCAGGTTCAGACTGTTGCCTATTATATCAGTTGCAGTTTCTGAACCCGCACAGCTGCTGTAGATCTTTTCAGCAATTCATTCTGGTTGTGGCTAGAGAACGTGACCAGTATCAGGTCCACAGCTTACTTTGACCGTGTTCTGATCGCTCTCTGTATCTCTGAGGTACTTAAAAATGGAGACTAGCTATACTGCTGAATAATGGTTTCAGAGAACAGGAACGTTTTCTTCTTCTCAAAGAGCTCCCTCTACTGTCCAGTGTTCTTATTCTATTTTGTTTTAATTCACAGTAAGACTTGAAGTACAGTGGTACCTCGGGTTACATACGCTTCAGGTTACAGACGCTTCAGGTTACAGACTCTGCTAACCCAGAAATAGTACCTCGGGTCAAGAACTTTGCTTCAGGATGAGAACAGAAATTGTGCTCTGGCGGCGCGACGGCAGCAGGAGGCCCCATTAGCTAAAGTGGTGCTTCAGGTTAAGAACAGTTTCAGGTTAAGTACGGACCTCCGGAATGAATTAAGTACATAACCCGAGGTACCACTGTACTGGACTGAAGCTATAGGCAAAAAAAGTGGATCATTGAGGGTTGCCATATTTCAAAAAGTAAAGTTCCTGACAACCTACCCTCAAAATGGTGATTTTAAGCTATTTGAGCTGTTTCTGCTGCTTTTTCCATCGCGTTGCCATACATCTAGGTTTTCCCTGATATTTTGCCAATTCGCCAAAATTCCCCCGACGCCATTTTTACACCTGAAATCCAGGACATGTCAGGAATTTTCCTGATGTATGGCAAGCCTAGGATCATTCAAACACTTCCTCTTACATCCCACTATCATTCCTCATCCCAATTAAAACATTAATTTTAATGTTAGCAAAACAATTGAACACTTCATTCTTTAAATACCCTTCTTTTCTGAAATAATTCTTATTTAATTTTACAGATATAATTTTATAACAATTCAAATGCATATATAGAGATTACTCTGAATGGGTGGGGTATAAATAAATTTTATTATTATTATTATTATTATTATTATATTAAAATCCTGCTAATGTTTGCACTGGTCCCCTAGATAGATTATAAACCAACCGGATTTAATTGAAAAGAGTAAAATATCAGATAATATAAATAAACCATTGAATGTAATCTGGGTGACATAAATACATATAATGTTTTTAGCGAGGAAGTATTGGTGATAATGAAGGGTATCTATTAATGACTCTATCAAAGTCTGGTGTTTAGTCACTGGATAGAATTATTTTATGAAGCTCTTATTTGTCTGTTTTATAAAAAGTGGGGGTCAACCTCTGACTTACAATAATTTGGGTTACAAAAAAAGACCTCGATGGGGATGACTCTGATCTCTTATATATTGTACCACTAAGCATATCAATGTGAGTAAATCAGAAAATCAAATGAATACATCTAGATAGAATGACACTGGTATAAAATACTATTTTTTATGCTATTTGTTCCACCCAAATTATATGGTTATAGTTATTAATGTAAATAGCTTCTGAACAAAGGCTTGCAATGGACATCCCAAAGGCTTTAGAAAAATATTTGGTGACAAAATTACTTGGAAAAGGTGAGTTGTCAACGATGAAGACCCGACACATGCAAAAGAAATGTGGAGTTGACTTTGTTAAAGTTGCCTTGTTTGAAGGTCCAGTAAAATATTTAAGGAGCAAGATCTTCTAGTTGTGACGAATTATTTGAAACAAGCAGCATTGCACTTATCATTGCTGATGAATTCTAAGAAAGAAAGAAACCGAAATCGTTGCAGTTGCAGTTGTTAGACCAGCAGTTAAAATCAGTGCAGTTTTGAAAGATTCAGCCCATCATCTTTGAGATTCCTTGCCGGTCTGTGATTCTGTGATACAGCTGTGATACAGATTCCTATTCAATCGTCAGAAGAGGAGAAATGTGTGTTTGTCCAGATAAGTCCATATAACAGACACTAGGGGGCTTTGCTGCCTCTCTGAAAAACTGTTGTACAGGCAGTGGTGTTCTTGGTCAGCAAAATGTTATCTACAGAGCAGGTTACATTACATCACTGTAGGAGTGAGGCACCTGTGGGTCCTCCAGATGTTGTTGGACTCCAACTCCCATCAGCCCCAGCCACGGGATTGGA